AAGTTAACCTCAAAAAAAGTTTGAGTTGCTACTTTCATTCATTAAGCTTCTAATTGGCTATTAATTTTGTCAAGGTTGATATTATAAATGGCCAATTGAGTTGCGAAATTCGTTTTCCAACGCTGTGTTTCCCAACCCTGTACGTTTATATTAATTGGTTGCGGTAATGTTCCTTGAAACTTTACCAGCCAATCAGTAACGTTCGAAAAATAGCGTCCCAGCCCTGCTTTCGTATATATTGTCCCCCCATTTGTCATAATTCTCGTCAACTACCGCACCCTGCTCTAGTGAAAATTTAGTAACCTTATAGTAACTTTTAATTTTAACAATATAGTCACTAAATGTTCACTAGAGTAGATTGCAGTAGTTGATCGAGAATTATGGCAAATTGTGTGTAGAAAAAAAAGAAGAAATTCAGTGAGATTAGTGTCATATTGGATTCAGTGGCTGAAAGCAAGTTTTTCATACTAGATAATGAATAATTGGGGAAAATACACAAGGCAACAGGGAAACAGGGCAATAACAACAACATAACCTATAAATTGAAATTTACGTAACTTTTAGGTTAATCAGTTATTAATTTGCATTCGGATTTGAAATTTACTTGGATTTTTATTTTTAGGTTACAAAATAGCATGCAGGTTATGTTTCTTAGTTTTAAATATTAAAATCGAAAAAAATGTAAGGGAATTAATTTTTTTAAATTAGGTAAATTTTTTTTTGTGATCCTATATTATTATTAAAGAGATAGTTTAAAAATGCAAAAAAAACGAGGGTCATTATACTCGACCTTCGGAAACTGTAACAAATAATATATATCGACGATATTCAACTTTGTTTTGTAGAGGTTAAAAAAAAAAAATAAAATGTGCATGGAATTCAGTGGTCGCAAAGGCCTTGCTTTATATTAACGGTATAAATAATTCTAAATTACCTGAAGCGTAAGAAAGCAAAAAAAAAGAAAAAAAAAATACTTTACTGATCTCCGTCTGATTTCTATGATGGTAATTAGGAAGCACTACCGTGAAAGTGGAAACGACAATTATCAAACGTTTGGTATTTAAGAGCTTAGTTCTTTTTTTTATTCTTATTTTTCTCGTAGTTTTCTTTTTTCGCCCCAAGTCACGCGATAAATTTTTGAAAAAATAAAAATTTTCTTTTTATAAAAAATTGAATTACAGTCAGTAAAAATTTATTTGTCTCAGAAAATTTATTATTTAAAATTTTTCAAATTTATTATTGTCTGATTGTGAATTAAAGGCATTTTATATTGATAATATTATGCGTAAATTGGAGCAATATTACGATATGAGATTGTTCACGTGATTGGCAACGATCTAGACCGCAAAAATTGACACCAATCAAAATCGACCGTTTTTTTTTGCATTATATATATATAAATTTATATGGTAATTCCATTCGGTTTGTTCAATTGATTCTGTTAATAAACGATGGCGTAAAAATTTTTTTTTTTCTAGTCGAAAATATAAATCTTTGCTCACATGTAATATAAAAGAGAAATATTAACCCTGAACTAAATTTTTAACGTAGAAAACTTTTTTCTTTTCTCTATTTTATAGGCTTTTGTTTTTTTTTTTTTTTACTGTTTCGTGTTCGAGACTAATTAATAAATGAATTAAAAATAAATAATTGGGCGTATTTTTTGAAAATTATGCGCCATTTTGTATTCTATATTTTGAATTTTGAAAATCTGACTTCAAATTCGTGATCAGCGACCCCAAAAACCTCTTGACATCAAGTACCATGAAGATTAGATACAGTTTTTGAAAATTTTCCACCATTTTGGATTAGAATTTAGGAATTTTTGAAAACTGAGTTCAAATTCGTGATCAGCGACCCCAAAAACCCCTAGATATCAAGTACCATGAAGGTGTGAAAATTTTTTTAAATCCGGGCAAAATTTTGGATTCGTAATTTTGAAAATCTGACTTCAGATTCGTGATCAGCGACCCCAAAAACCCCTAGACATCAAGTATCATAAAAATTAAGCAAATTTTATGAAAATTTTGCCCTATTTTGGATCCGTATTTAGAAATTTTTGAAAACTGAGTTCAAATTCGTAATCAGCGACCCCAAAAAACCCTAGATATCAAGTACCATGAAGATGTGATAAATTTTTTTCAAAATCCGGGCAAAATTTTGAATCCGCCATTTTGAATTTTGAAAATCTAACTTCAGATTCGTGATCAGCGACCCCAAAAACCCCTAAACATCAAGTATCATAAAAATTAAGCAAATTTTTTTGAAAATTTTGCCCCATTTTGGATCCGTATTTAGAAATTTTTGAAAACCGAGTTCAAATTCGTAATCAGCGACCCCAAAAACCCCTAGATATCGAGTACCATGAAGATGTGAAAATTTTTTTAAAATCCGGGCAAAATTTTGGATTTGTATTTTTGAATTTTGAAAATCTAACTTCAGATTCGTGATCAGCGACCCCAAAAACCCCTAGACATCAAGTATCATAAAAATTAAGCAAATTTTTTGAAAATTTTTCCCTATTTTGGATCCGGATTTAGAAATTTTTGAAAACCGAGTTCAAATTCGTAATCAGCGACCCCAAAAACCCCTAGATATCAAGTACCATGAAGATGTGATAAATTTTTGAAAATGTCAAAATTTTGAATCCGCCATTTTGAATTTTGAAAATTTTACTTCCAAATTCATTAAATTCTAATTGAAAAATATCGAAAAATAATTTCTTGTCAGAAGAAAAAAATAACGCAAAAAAAAAGAAAGAACAAAAAAAATTAAAAATAATAAAAAAAAAAAAATGACACAAAATTACGAATGAGCTTCTCATATCATGAAACTAAACTATGCGTATTCTTATTTCCTCGGGGACGCCTAAATGTGCCTTGAGGGAAACTCGGGCATGTTAATTCAAGGACTCACAAACAAGACTCTCCTGTAGTACTAATCTCTTCTTGCATGATTAGTGTTGTATATAGTACTCTACTCGAAAGAGACATGAGAAAAAAAAGTCAATTACAAAATTACATCAAGTTAATTAATTTTTAATAACGATATAGGTTAAAAGGAGAGGGAAATAAATTTTTCTTTTTTTTTTTAATTAAAAAAAAAACAGAAAGAATAAAAAATTATTTTTTAATTGAATAAAATTTTTTTTCAAAATTGAAATATTTTTCTACATGTAATTAATTATTACAAATTGCTTTTGTTTACTAAAAAAAAAGAAAAATTAACAAAAAATTTTTTTAATTAACAGTTATTAATTACAAATTGCTTTTTTTATTAGTAAAAAAGAATAAAAAAATCAATTTGTAATTAATAACTGTTAATTAAAAAATTTTTTTGTTAATTTTTCTTTTTTTTGGTAAACAAAAGCAATTTGTAATTAATTACATGTAGAAAAATATTTCAGTTTTGAAAAAAAATTTTATTCAATTAAAAAATAATATTTTATTCTTTCTGTTTTTTTTAATTAAAAAAAATTTTACTTTGTTAATTTTTGTTCTTTTTTGTTACAACAGAAATTTATAAATTAATAATTAATTAATTAATTAATTATGAATAAATTAATTATAAATAAATTAATAATTAAGTAATTAATAATTAATTAATTAATTATTTAATTATTAATTTATTGATAATTTATTAATTATTAATTTATAAATTTCTGTTGTAACAAAAAAGAAAAAAAATTAACAATGTAAATTTGGTTACAAAAAATTTTTTTTAATTAGTAATTTATAATTAATAATTACCTGTATAAAAAAAATTGAAAAAATATTTACAGCTAATTATTATTAACTACAAATTGTTAATTAAAAAAAAAAATTATATGTAATAAAATTTATTTTGTTAATTTTTCTTATTTCTGTTTCACTAAACAAAATTTGATTTTGTAGTAAAAAAAATTCGGAAAGGTACAGCTGTTGTTATTTTTTTTTTTTTTATTTTTTTTTTTTTATTAATAAGGAAATAATAAAATCGCAATTATCAGTGAAATACATACTGATATATTGATTAAAAAAAATGATTGTTGATGTAAAAAAAATAATGTTGAATTAGTCATCGATAAAATATTGTATGCGATAAATAATTTATATTAAGTGATTTTTATGAAAGTCTCAGTTCAAGGAACCTTGGAATTGGCAATTGATACAGTTGACACTTCAAGAGCAAAAAAAAAAGAAAAAAAATACCTTTCGAATTTTACAAAAATTTTTCAAAAACCTTCTATTTAATTCGCCTTGCAGTGCCAATAAGTGCGTAAAAAAAAAAAAAATAGTTAAAACCTCACACTTGACCTTGTATTTGCTTTTGAAGGTACATCTATGCGTGAAGACTGCTAATTACTCAAGAATGTCCCTCGATATATATATTTATTTAATATGATTTCATCCTCTTTTGAATAAGAAAAAAAAATTTATTCTTGCCATTCATAAATTTTGAAAATAATTTTTTTTACCAACCCCCTGCGAAAAGGAAAAAATTTGGAATATAAAATATAATCAAAATATTAATTATTATTTATTATAAACAATTTATTAATTAAATAAATAAAATTATTTTATATTAATTAATTATTTTTAATTATTATATTCCGTCAATTTATTAAATAAATTATTTATTTATTTATTTAAGAATAAATATAATAAATTAATTATTAAATAAATTATTTATTTATTTATTTAAGAATAAATATTATAAATTAATTATTAAATAAATTAATAATAATTAATTAAATAAAATTAATAATAAAAAAATTTGAAAAAATAAATAATTAAATTTATTATATTAATTGGTAGGTAATAAAAATGTTATTTTATTTTATTAGAAAATAATAAAATATTAATATGATTATTATAAATATTATTCGATTAGTATTTTTTTTGTAAATTATATTATTTTTTGTACCATCTTACTTTTTTTCTTTTTTTTTGTCCATTTAAATTGTACGAAATAAATAATTTATGGTAATTTAAATTTTTTTCTTCCTTTTTTTGTTTCAGGTATCAATAAATGAAAATGATTTTAATCTTCTTTGGATTGGAAATCATCCGAAACCCGATGTCCTTCGTAATTTGACACCTTATCAAAAAGTCAATCATTTTCCTAGGTAAATTTTTACGAAAAATAATTTCTCGTTTTTTTCCCCTCTAATTTTTTATTATCTTTTTTTTAATTAAAAAAAATGAATTGAAATTTAATTTATTTTAAATCTATTAATTTATATTTACTTTTTTTACCAGTTATTTTTTTTTAATATAAGTTTTCTTTAAAAAAAAGAAAAATTTATATATAAAAAAATATTTTTTTTCATATTTATTTATAGAAAAATATATTATTAATGTTTATTTGTTGAAAAAAATTCTATTTATTTTAAAAAAAAAATATTATTAACGTTTATTTGATGAAAAAATATGAATTTTTTTCAATTTTTTTGTAAAGAAATAAAATTTGAATTGAAAGATAAATTTGGTTTTTTTTTTAAAACTACATTTTTGAATCAAGAAAAATTATGTTCTTTTTGGAATTTTTTGTTATTTATTTATTTATTTATTTATTATAGATCATACGAAATAACGAGGAAGGATCGTCTGTATAAAAATATTGAAGCGATGCAAAGAAGCAAAGGAGTACGTAATTTGGATTTTATACCACAAACGTTTCTTCTTCCCAGTGAATCGAAAGAACTTCTAACAGCCCACTTTAGGTATCGAGGTCCCTGGATTGTCAAACCAAAAGCAAGTTCCAGAGGTCGTGGAATTTATATCGTCAATAGTGTAAGTTATATTCAATTTTTTTTTTCTCAACAAAAAATTTATTTATCAATTTTTACATTTTTAAAATTTTATTTATCATTTTTTACATTTTTAAAATTTTATTTATCAGTTTTTACATTTTTAAAATTTTATTTATCATTTTTTACATTTTTAAAATTTTATTTATCAGTTTTTACATTTTTTAAATTTTATTTATCATTTTTTACATTTTTTAAATTTTATTCTGAAATTTTAATTATCATTTTTATAATTTATTTATTTTTTTGTACCAAAGAGAGAAATACATTTTGCTTATTTAGTAATAATAAAAAAATAATTAAAAAATTTTACTTATTTTTTTCTAAAAAAAAATATATGCAATCAATAAATTTATTTATTTACACGTAAATCGGTTTACAAAAAAAAAATGATAAAGTAAATTTTTTGTTTTTTATTTGGTAAATTAAATTTATCATAATCACGATCGATCCGATAGACACATACACATGTAAATGAAAATTTAAAAAAAAATAATAGAAAATAGAAAAATGAAAAACAAAAATTGTGTGAAAGTTGTCTCTGTGAAAAATTGTCATTATTTTATAATCTGATAAAAATTCCGATTCTCCTTTCACTGACTTATTTCCTATTTTATATATCTATTGATATAAAACTTTCCCTAGTCACATCTTTCTTTTTCTTTTTTTTTTGCACTGATTTTAATAATTTAATTAATAAATTAATCGCTCTGATTAGATGAATTATAATTTTGCAAATTAATATACAAATCGTAAAAATAAAACAAAAAACAAATTTTTTTTTGGTATTGATTTAAAAATTTTTTTTTCAATTCATAAACAAAATTATTTAATTAGCATAATTAATTAGAAAATTGTTGTATATAATTTTCTAGACGGACAATTAGTCATTGACATCATTAAATAATCAATTAATCAGTTCATTACGGGGTTATACTTAAATTACTTAATTAGTCAGATAATTAAATGATTAGTTCATATGTTATAAAATTAATTAGTTTATCAATTTATTTGTTAATTATTTAGTTATATTTTCTATTTAGTTAATTTATTTATCGTTAATTAGTATTTTAATTATTTATTTCATTAATAAATTTATTTTATAATTAATTAGTTTACTTATTAATTAGTTAATTAATTAAATTGTTAATTAGTTCATTAATTAATTTACTAATTAGTTAACAAAATAGTTAGTTAATTAATTAATTAAATTATCTTTTAATTTTTTAGATAATTTGTAAATTAATTAATTAATTAATTAATTAATTAACTAATTAGTTAACAAATTAGTTAGTTAATTAATAATATAAATTATTTTTTTATTTTTTAGATAATTTGTAAATTAATTAATTATTTCATTAATAAATTTATTTTTTAATTAATTAGTTTACTTATTAATTAGTTAATTTATTAAATTGTTAATTAGTTCATTAATTAATTAATTTACTAATTAGTTAACAAATTAGTTAGTTAATTAGTTAATTAAATTATTTTTTTGATAATTTGTAAATTAATTAATTATTTCATAAATAAATTTATTTTTTAATTAATTAGTTTACTTATTAATTAGTTAATTTATTAAATTGTTAATTAGTTAATTAATTAATTAATTTACTTATTAGTTAACAAATTAGTTAGTTAATTAAATTATTTTTTAATTTTTTAGATAATTTATAAATTAATTAAATTATTTCATAATTTATTAGATAATTTGTTAATTAATTTACAATTTATTTTTGTTAAGCAAATAAATTTATTTGCTGATTTTTTAAAATTAGTTAATTAGTTTTTGTTTTTATTAACAAAAATTTGTATAATTTATTGATTTATTAATCAGTCAATTATTATAATTAATTAGACCAAAAAAAAGATAATTAAATTAATTATCTAAATAATTTAAATAAAAGAAAAAATGGCACTAAAATCTTTTTGAAAATTTAATTTATTTTTTGTTTTTTTTGCATTTTTAGCCGGAGAAAATTTTGACTGACGAATCTGTGATTGTCGCGCAGTATATAAATAATCCTCTATTGGTGGATGGACATAAATGTGATTTGAGATTGTATGTTGCCGTTACGAATTACGATCCTCTTTTAATTTATCTCTACGAGGAAGGATTAGTAAGATTTGCTACTGTCAAATACGATGGTGGCAATCAGTACGTGTGGAATCCCTGTATGCATCTCTGCAATTACAGCATCAATAAATTTCACGTCGACTATGTCAAGTAAGAGAGATATAGAGAGACAGTCATTTGAAAATTCATTTTTTTTTCTCGTATAGTTTCTTTTTTTTTTTTTTATTTATAAGAAGTATATATTTCATTTGTATTAAAAATTCAAATTTTTTTAAGGAAATTTTTTATAATACACAAAATTGTATTTTTAATTTGAATTTTTATAAATAGATTTATGAAACCGATTTTTTTTCACATTTTTTCTGACGTTAAATTTTCTTAAATTATGTAACGAAATTTCAAATTTAAAAGAATTTTTATCTAATTGAATCTTAATTTAGTGGATAATTTTTCATTTGTCAGCATTTTTTATTTGAAAAAGAATTTCTCGGAAATTATAATATATTTTCTTAAATTAATAATTTAGTGAAATAAAAAATTTTATTTTATAGAAATTTTGTTAAACAAAAATTCTTCTAATTTAAAAGTTATTTGAATAAAAATTCTATTTTTTGAGAAATTTTTGTTGAAACAAAAATTTTTTCTAACTTAAAAATTATTTGAATAAAAATTCTATTTTTATTGGAAATTTCGTTGAATGATAAAAATAATAAATAAAATAAATTTTGAATTGTTATTGAATGAAAATTTTATTAATTAAAGATTTTTTTTGATAATTATTTTATTTTTTTTTCGTTTTTAAGTAAAATTCGTCTTTTAAAAATGCGTTTTTAAAAATTTGGTTTTAAAAATTCGTTTTGTTAAATGAAAATTTTGATAAGAATTTATTTTTGATTTTGTGTTTTTTTTAATGTAATTTCGATTTTGTAAATTTCTTTTTATTTTGTTATTTATTTTTTTTTTTTGTAAAATTACTTGTGAAAATAGATTTAAAAAAATTAAGTGCAATTGAGAAAAATTAATAATACATTGTTAAAAATATTTATAAATTGAATTTTGAGGAAAGAATTATTTTTTTTTTTTTTTGTCTAGAAATGATGATCCAGATGCAGAAGATGTGGGACATAAATGGACATTGTCAGCTCTACTTAGACATTTGCGATCCATTGGACAAGATACAGAATTACTGATGCAACGAATAGAAGATGTTATAATAAAGTCAATTCTCGCAACGGCTTCTGGTATCGTTAGTGGAATGAAACAATTTGTTAAGCATCCGGACACTTGTTTTGGTAATTATTCTTTTTTATTATTAATTCAATTTTTTATTTATTTATTTAATATAGATTTTTTCCTTTTTTTTTGCTAATTTCCAAAAATTCATCGACAAAAAAACAATTTATCGATATTCGTGATTGAAAAAAAATTTCTTTTTTTATGAATTTAATTATTTAAAAATTTTTTTTCACTTTTTCAGACTTTTTGTTTTTATTTAATTGAAATTAGCCATTTTATTTTTAATTAATTTTTTTTTTGCCTATGACATTTTTTGCCTATTTTTGCCTTTTGACATTAAATCGAATAGTTTTGAAAATAAATTGATAATTAAATTTTGTTTTTCATTTGTCAAATATTAATTAATTAGTTTTTTAGTTTAATTTTTAGAAAAAAATTTCTTGAAATTTATCTACTGAGAAAGAGGGAGACAAAAAAAAAAAAAAATTTTTTGGTTTCTAAATTGTAGAATTATTTGGATTTGACATACTGATTGATGATTGTCTGAAACCTTGGCTACTGGAAGTGAACTTGACTCCGTCTTTGGGCTGTGATTCGCCATTGGACGTGAGATTGAAATCTGCTTTAATCGCAGATCTGCTTACCCTCGTTGGCATACCCGCTGTTGATCCCATCCTAAGACCTCAAGCAACAAGTCAAAATAAATTTGCCAATCCCACTAGAAAAATAACTAGTGTAAGTTGGTTCTTTTTTTTTTTTTCAAAAATCTTTTTCTCTAAATAACATTTTTGTTTGGAAATTAAAAGAAAAAAAAAACAGCTGTTTTCTCTTAATTTCAAATTGTTATAATTTTCATGTGTTTTGTAATTTTTATTTTGTTTTATATTTTATTTTGTATTGTATTTTATTTTTTGTTTTATTATTTCGTTTTTTTTTTTTTACAAAATTTTGTTTTTTATTTTGCTTTCTATTTTTTGTATTTTGTTTTGTATTTTTTTTTTTTATTTTGTATTTTATTTTTTGTTTTATTATTTCGTTTTTTTTTTGCAAAATTTTGTTTTTTATTTTGCTTTCTATTTTTTGTATTTTGTTTTGTATTTTTTTTTTATTTTGTATTTTATTTCGTTTTCTACATATTTTGTTTTTGTATTTTGCATTCTATTTTGTTTTTTTATTTAATTTTGTATTTCTTTTTGTTTTTTGTTTTATATTGTAATTTGTTTTTTATTTTATTTTTTATTTCATTTTCTATATATTTTGCTTTTCCTTTTTATTTTTTGTATTTTTTTTTGTATTTTATTGTATTTTATTTTGTATTTTGTAAAATAATTAATGTAATGTAAATAATGATAATAATAATAATTTATTAATGTAATTTTTTATTTTGAATTTTGATTTTGTATGTTTTTTTAAATTTTCTATTGTAATTTTTTTTTCTGTATTTAGTTTTCTATTTTCGGTTTTAATTAATTAATTTCTATTTCTCAATTACAGTATCGAAGAGTTCATTCAGCTGAGACTTTGGCTCAAAAAAAGAAAACTACCTCAAAGAATTCATTGAATAAAACGGGTCTTTCCTCGGAGCAACAACGAATTGTCGCTTCGGCAAAAGCACAATTTGAACGTAGAGGCGGTTTCGTACGAATTTTTCCAAGTCCAAAGTCCTGGGAAATGTATTCACAGTATTTAGGTAATTATTACAAAAATTTATTAAAATTATTATCATTATTATTATTATTATTATTATTTTTTTAAAAATATTTGTTTGTTTTTTTTGCAGATCCAATCACGGGAATTCCAGTGGTTACTGATCCCCTTGGTCCAGGTAGAGTGCCGCAACACATTAACACAAATCACAATTTAATGTTGCACGAGCAACTATTTCCAGCTGTTAATCGTATTGGTTTCATAATTCAGGAAGTCAAGTTGGACAGACTTTCCAGGTGAATGAATGTAAAATTTATTTGTTAATATTCATTGTCTACTTGACATTATGCTCTATATTTGAATATTTTCAAATTTACATTTTTATTAAGTAAAAAAAAAAAAAAAAATTTATGGTAGATATATATTTTTTTTTGCCTTTATCAATTGTAGATATTATTTTTCTTTTTTGCAAATTTGTTTTTGTAATTTTTACTCTTTTATTTATTGTAGTTATTATTTTTGTTTAATTGTAAAAATTTTTGTTATTTTAATTTTTTGTTATTTTATTTTTTGTTAATTCTGTGAAATTTTTAAAATAGGAAAACAAGCATTGAAAGAAATAATTTATTTTTTTGATAATAATTTAATTTTTTTTTTTCTTCCTGTTAGGTATGAAAGGTACGAGAGAGCACTTCTTAAAGGACACAAGGAAAGTCTGGATCGTGGAGATAGTAAAGAAAATATCGATATTGATAGCCAAAAATATAAAGCTCAAGTAATGCAATTAATGGAAGACGGCAACAAATTAAGGTTCGTAAATAAAAAAAAAAAAAAAAAATTTGCCATTAGAATTTTATTATAAATTATTTTTTATTTAATAAAATATACAGACCTTTACAAATAGGGGGTTTTTTTTTACAGAAAAAAAAAATTGAAAATTACCAACTATTAATAATTTTGTTAACATTTTTAAACTATGAAATTTTACGTCTTTGAAGTCTCATTATTTTGAATTTGAAACATTTCTTTTTTTTTGAAGTATTGCCAAAATTATTCCTTTTTAAATTTCCTCTAGCTTTAAAACGTGTAGGTACTTTTATTTATTTTTCTTTTTTTAATGAAATGTACAAAAAATATTTTTCCTTTACAGCCCCGGAGAGGCGAGAAAAGCCTTTGGTCTATATTTAGGTTTTATATTACGCAAAATATCGCAGCCAAATGCTGATCCAGTTTGTTGTGATCTTGTTACGAAATTTTTACAACAATCTTCTAGTAATTTAAAAACGCCTTTCTTATTCACTGTGAGTTGTTATTTTCATACATAAATATATTTCTAATTATTTTTTTTTTATTACTATTTTTTATTAAATATTCATTTATTATTTATTAATTATTTATTAATTATTTATTTATTATTAATTTATTATTTATTTCTTTTTTTTATTTATTATATTTTATAATTTATAATTTTTTTGATTTTACAATTTTTATTTTATTATTCAAAAATAATTTCCGAAATTTTATTCTTGTTTTGTTTTTAAAATTATTTATTTCTTTTCCGTGTATGTTCTAAGAACATTACTTTTTTTGTTGGTTTTTATTTCATAGAAAAATATTTAATATAATTAATGGTTTTTTTTCTATAATTTTAATTTTTTTTTTCGTTTTCACTAGTTGCCAAATAGTAAATTGAGTGATAAGGATAGAGCTGCCATAACTGCAAAGCAGTTATCGGACTTTTTGCAACAATACAATAAAGAAACTGATCTTTATGCCGATACCGTTGATCGGCCAAGAACTGTTCCCAACAGACTTTTTCAAAAATTTCTCGCAGCAGCAAAGTAAGTAAAATAAAAAACAAAAAACCAAAGAAAATTACATTAAATACTAAATTTTTATTTCATATTAAATAGAAAAAATTTAAATTATTAACTTTTATCATATTTTTAATAATATTAAAAATTATTTATCTATAATTTATAATGTAAATATTATTTATTGTATTATTATTTTATTATTAATTTATTCTTATTTTGCAAATAAAAATAAAAATTTTGCAATAAATAATTTTATATTATAAATTATAATATATTTATATTGATCTATATTATTATTATTTTATTATATTATTATTATTATTATTATTATTATTATTATTATTATTAGTTTTATATTATTATTATTTTTTTTTGTAAAATTAAAGAAATTTATTTTGTTTCGTCTTCTTTTCTTTTTAAAGTGAAGAGGATCTCGATGACGTGTTAATTTTACAAACACGCCTCTATAATTGCGCTCACAGTTTTTTGGGTAGAAGTGGATTTGCCGGAAGTTTGCGAGGTCCAAATCTTCTTTGTTGTTTGCCGCACATCACTTCGCGCGTTCATTCGAATGCAATCACTAATGAACAATGCAAATGCAACCAAACCATGAGTCGGCCAACTAAGGCGCCTAGAACTTAATTTTAATTTTTTGTTTTTTTTTTTTTGTCTCTTATCTTCTACTAGATTTCAATTTATTATGTTTTTTTTGTGTTTCTCTTTTTGAAATAAGTGTTGATCACCTTTTTTTTTACATATATTATATATTTATATATTTATTTATTTCGAGTCACTTAAAAAAAAAAAATATTTATTTATATTTGTTAAACAGTCAAAAGTTTTTATATCTTTCTGTTTTTTTTCATCTTTTTTATATTATTATTTTTTTTATTATTATTACTATTATTACTATTATTATTATTATTATTATTATTATTATTATTATTATTATATATTTAAATAATTCGTATTGTTTAAAATTCCCTAGTCGTTTCAATTATATTTATTCCGCAAAAAAAAGCGCGATTATTGTGATTGCAAAAAAAAAAAAAAAAAATACAAACACCGATGATTATTTCAAAAACCAGGTTTTCTAAAAAAAATAGTTTTCGCTTTTTCTAAAATATTCAAAATTCATTTATTTATTAATAACTCTTCTTTTTCGAATTTCTTGATTGAGAAAAAAATTATTACTCTATTTAAAATACCTATGAGAAATTATTAAATTTAAAAAAATATATAGACAAAAAAAGAGTTTGTTTTAAAAATTGCTATTTTGAGCAAAAAAAAAAAAAAATTCAATATTCAAAGTAGCTACAATTTTTCTAGTATTTTCAAAATCGCTTCCTGCCAAAATTAAAAAAGAAAAATAACACTAACGATTGGCAGGCACCAATCTAATTGTAATTTTAAAAAATTAATTAATTCGTACAGAAAAAAAAATTCGAAATATTTAGTGAATTTTTTAAAATGAAAATTAATTAATTAAAATTTCGTTCTTTATTAACATTATTATTATTATTATTATTATGATAACAGCCAAAATACTATACACTACTTATAGCGATTAAATATAATAATATTAAACGGTAATATTGATACAATTTAAAATAGTAATTGATATTTAATTAGAAATTATATTTAATACATGAGTAATTTAAAAAAAAGGAAAAATCGATTTTTACTAATTAACAATGTATTAATTATATAATTTCTAAACGCCTAATGCTAAACGAAGCAGTATGCAATCGATATTTTACCAAACGCTTGTGTGATTAGATTTTGCATTCTGTGATAAATATAATATAATATAAATAATACATATATATATATATATACATTATATACGCGCATATATATGTATATATTTACTTTCTTCTGGTAAAAGTAAATTTGTCTTGATGTGTATTTTTTCAAATGAAAAAATAATAAGCGGATTATGAGAAATATTAAAACTGATAAGAAAAAAATATTCATAGAAATTTTTTCTATGATTGGTAAAAAAAATCGAAATTTTTTTTTTTTGCGCAGCTTTTAAAAACCAGTGCTGTATATTTTTTAATTATTGTAAATTTTTAATATTAGATTATAGCTAGCTTTACGATTTTACAACGAATTAATTATAAACAGAAATTTTAATTTTCGTAATATTTATTTTACAAAAATACTGAGAAATTTTTTAAAAAGTTGTATTATTTTTATTATTTTTATTATTTTCATTATTTTTATTACTATTATTATTGTATTTCTATAAATAAATTTTATTTAATAATAATAATAATTTTTATTTTAGGTAAAATAATAAAAGAAAATAATTACACAGATATTTTTAATTAAAATAATTATTACGAAAATTAATTTTTAAATTTTGTATTTAAATACTGTAAACTGTACTTAATCGACGAAATGCTTAAAAAAAACCGTCTTGTTTCGAAATGAAAATTTCATTTTTCTATTCGAGAATTTTTATTTATTTTCTTTTACTGAAAAAACAGACATTTATTTGAAATAATTAAATGCACATTTTTAATTGCAAAATTTATGAAAAATTAAACAATTGCTTAAAAATATTTTTGTCGTAATTGTTATGCAAAAAAATTTTTAAATTCCAAAAAAAAGTTCAGAAAAAAGAAAAAAAAATTGTAAATTAATTAATTAAACATTAATTAAACAAAATTAAAAATTTTTTAAATTTAAATTTAAATTAAAAAATTGTAAAACTTTGTAATAAAAAACTATAGAAAAAATATTATTTTAAAAATTTGTTTTAGTTTTTGTAAATTAATAAAAAATTATTTAATATGACAAAAAAATATTTAATAAAAAAAATTAATAAAAGTTTAGTTAACAATATTGTAAAAATTGAATAAAAAATTTTTTTTGGTTCCAAAAGAAATAATTAAATTTTTCAAACAAATAAAAAGTTTTAAATAAAAAAAAAAAAAAAAATTCTCGAATGGACAAATTGAAAATTTCACATCGATGTCCTTCTTATAAAAGTATTAATTAAACAAAAAAAGCAAACAAATTTATACGCACTAAGTGTTAATTAAGTATTTATTGCACAATTTTGTTGAATTTTATATAGGAACAAGTTTTATTTACTGTGTTTGCACTTTTTTTTTTTTTACTGAAAATTTTAACGAAAATTATTTCATATTTAAATATTAATTGCTGAAACTTTATTTTTTAGTGATTAATTATATTGTAATTTATTTACAGTAACTAATGAACTGCAAAATTGTTTTTTTTTTCTTTTTACAAAAAGAAAATGTTTTGCAATTTATTTTATAAAATAGTTAATTATTCTAGTTTACAATATTAATTAATTGGTTCATTAATTACAAAAATTTACATATTTAATAATTTATTAAACGATGACTAATATATTTTTTAATTTATAGAAATTAATATAAAGATTCTTTTTTGTGAAAAAAAATATTTAATTGATTGATTTTTGCAGAATTTTTTCTTAATTATTCACAATAAAATTATAATTTCGTAATTTTGCAGAAAATTCGTTTCAAATTTAAATTTAAATTAATTTTTGAAATAATTAAAATTAAAAATTAATTTTTAAAATAATTAAATTTGAATTAATTTTTTTTTTTAAATTAAATTATATTTTTAAAAAATTTAAATTTAATTTGAAAATTTGAAATCTTTAAAAATAGAAAGAAAAAAAAATGGACAAGAAGACTAACGGGATAAGATTTTTTGTTTTTCATTGCCGAATAGAAAATAAAAGAAAAAAAACTGCAAAGTTCCAATATTTTATCAAAAAAGAGAATATTCTATATTTTAAACTGCCGTGAAATTTTTTTTTTCAAAGGCGTTCTAAAATTGTTGTGCATGTGTGAGAAATGTTTTTTTTTCCCGTCTGTTATATATTTAAAATAATAATATTGCTTCGCAATAACTGCCGAATGTTTAAGATTTCATTTTATGTGTTCAATTTTTTATTTTAAGTATAGAATTTTTATTTTTTGTTTTTGATAATTTTCCTGTTGTATTTAATTTTAATGAATGACAAAAATTTCAAAAAAATTATTATCTCTTTCAGTATGTGACAATATTAACGAATTTCTTTTTTTTTTTTTTTTTTTTTCAAGAATTTTATTTAAAAATATAGAAAATTTTTGAAAATATTTCACGTATTTTTATTATTGTAATTAAATTATATTTTGTTTTGTTCTATTTGAATATTTTATTTATTAATTCAAAATTATTGTAAGAATTTTTTTTTCTACAAAATTTTATGATTAATTATATTAAAAAATAATTAACAGCGCCGATTATTTATTATTGTAAAAAAAATAGACATTTTTTCACGATAAGGTAAAATTTTATCGTTAATTATTATTAATTATTATTATTATTGTGTTGAAAAAAAAAGATGAAATTTTGGATTTTTTTTTTGCCGATTGAGAGATTAGGAAGAATGATCTGAATTTTGTATAATTGTTGCGTCAAATTATTATTATTATTATTATTATTATTATTATTATTATTATTATTATTATTATTATTATCATCTTAGAGTCTCAATAAGTAGAAAATTATCGATATTTTTGTATTGCTCGTTTTTTTTCACTGGCGTTTTTCTAGTTAAAAAAGGAAAAGAAAAAAAAACGAGTGGTACATTTATTTCTACCTGTGATCTCCAAAATTTCCTAGTCAGCTTTATAAAAAAAAATGTAAACTTGCAAAATTCAAATTGGCATTTTTTTTTTGCCAATAATTGTTTTATTAAGAGGTAAAACGTAATGGATTTTTTTTTTTACTAATTTTTGCATTTAATTGCTAAAATTATTAATTACAAAAAACAAATAAAAATAAAATCGGTAAATTATTTATAAAAAAAAAAAAAATGTTTCATTTTGAATTTTAATAAAAAAAATTTCTATTAGAAATTATAATTTTCGAGATAATTTTTTTGCAACAAAAAAAAAAAAAAAAATGGATTATGTTTTACTAGGAAAAAAAATGGTTTCTTCTGGAATTTTTCTCAAAATTTGGTTTTTGTTCCTCACTGCCAAAAATTCAGTTATTCAAAAAAAAAAAAAACGAAATAAGTCGATTTTTAAATTAAAATTTTAAAAAATTCTATTACTAAAGTAATTCTGAAAATTAAATCCATTTTCTGTGAAAATTAAATTTTTTTTATATTTAATTTTAATTTATTTGATATTATTAAAATTTTCTCTTTTTTTTTCGTTTAAATTAATAAAATTTGAATCTTATTTATTTAATCGACTGTTTCGATAGTCTAAATAACTGAATGATTGTGCAGTTTTTTTTTAGTGATATAAGAAAACTCATAGATAGTAATAAAATATAATTGTCAACGCCCAATATCAAAACCTATTTTTCCCAATATTAATAATGTAATTGATATTCAGAACAAAAAAATAAAAAATAAACATTCCGTCAATGGAAGAAAATTGTATTTTTTTTAAAATTCCATTAATTAAAAAAAATTATAAATAATAAATATAATTTAAAAATAAAATAAAATATTAAATATATAAAAAAAATTTTTTTTTTGTTCATTCTGTTTTTTTTTTTGTATTTCAGAACAAAATTATTATTTTCCAAAATATTTTCTTCTTGAAAAACTTATTTTCTTAATGATAAATAATTAATAATAACTATTATTAGTTTGAATTTAATATAAATAATAATAAATTTAAAAAAAATATTTGGTACAAATAATTTCTAGAATTAATTTGAATTCTCCCGCGAAATCTGTTTTACCGACATGTGCTATCGGGGGTGACGTGCATACATTCACTTCTGCTTCTCTTTTAAAATGTAATTCTTCCCAAGAATGACAATACTTTTACACACGATAAAATGCATTGACTTATAAAAAACAAATTAAAAAATACTATAAATCAGTGTTTTTTTTTTTTTTATTTTAATCCTTAATTTAATGTGAAAAAAATATTATTAAAATAATTGTTCCAATTATTGTTATGACGTGTCTCGTCAACGTGCAGTAAGCGCATGCGCAGTGCTGCCTTACGTGGCATCAGCCGCAGTTACTGTTTCGAAGAAAAAAAGTAGTGAAAAATCATTTTTATTTCTTATTTATAAATTTAATATTATTAATAATTATTTGTGAATAAAAGGGTTTTTATTTCGTTATGGTACTTTGGGAATCGTCAACAATGTATGGTGAGTAATGAATTCTTTATTATTAACAACTATTTTCACGTGGAAATTGTCAATTTTTTTTTTTTTCTCAATGAACAAATTTTCATATGCAAAATGGCTTTTTTTTACTTAATAAAAAAATTCTGATTTCTTTAATGTGACATTTAATCATTAGTCTAATTTTATTGATTGTTGTGAAAGATTAGGCAATGTCTTGACGATTGGTTGAAATGTCAAATTTACGTATAGAATCTTTCATTTGATTCACTTATACGTGACTTTCATAATATTTAGGTTATGATCGACTTACTGTCAGAAAATTTATTTTCAGGTTTTTAACATTTTCTTTTTTTTTTCTATTTTTTATAATTTTAGAAATATTTTTTGCGAAATAAAATTATGATTTTAGTAAATCATTGTTTTTTGTTTCTTTTTTTTTTGTAAATTTTTTATTAAATAAATATTCTGTGCGTGTAGAAATAGTTATTAAATAACAAATGAAAGGATTGGTTTAATGGAAATATTTTTTATTGTTAAATCGAGTTTTATTGTTGTCAGAATTATATATGCTATATATATCTATATGTATTATTTTGATTCATTCCTTTGACATATCTGAATCATGAGATATTATCGAAGGAAACATTTAAATCCATATGTTTTGCGATAAATTTCTTGTTGTTTTTTTTTATTTTTATTTTTTTTTAATTTTTTAATAAGAAGAATAAATATTGTTATTGTATAAAAAATATTATTTCGATAATATTAATAAGAGACTGCAATTGAAATATATTTTAAATTTTATAGTTATTGTTTTGTTATATATATAGTTGAAAATAATTTCTTCGGGAATGTTTAATGAATAGTGCCATATGTTTTTATTTACTGTGGGTAAATATTTTCTATCATATCAAGCAGATGTGATTTTATGTTAATTGTCTGATGATTAAATGTCAATTATCAATTATTAAAACTGAAACTCATGAATATATAAATATATAATTTTTTGTATTTTTTACGAGACAACAAAAACAAAATAATAATAATAATATTAATTATTATAATTTATTATTTCAAAATTTTTTCATTGTTTTTAATTAACTTTGCAATAGAAAATTTTTAAATATAATAATCTTTTATTATATTATAATAATAATTATTATTATTAATTTATTATTAATTTAATTTATAATTTGAATTAGTTATTTTTTATTTTATTAATAAACGTTAATAATTTACAAATAATAATTATAATAATATATAATTATAAAAAAATTTATTAATATAGTTTATTATTATTTTATTTTTTTTTAAAACAAATTAATAACTTGTTAGTTGTTAGCAAGAAAATATTAAAATCGGTTAACAATTATATTAATTCATTAACATCTTTTTATAATTTAAATTAATTATTTTAAAATTATTTTATTAATAAAAAAATTATTACTTTCTAATAATAAAAATAATAACAATATGTAATACAATTATAAACAAATTTCTTAATATATTTAATTATTATTAATTTTAAAACGAATTATTAATTTATAAATTATCAACAATAATAAAAATTATTATTATTATTTTATTTGATAAAGATTATGAATTAATAAAAATATTTAAATTTTTGCATAAAATCATTTTTCAAAATTAACAACAAAAAATTTATTTAAAATTAAAAATACATATTACACACTAAAATTTTCCAATAATTTTTTTTAATAAATTTTTTTATAAATTAAATATAAAAAAATTCGTTTTTTTTTGTAGTCCCTTGAAAAAAAAGAAAATTCTAATTTTCAGGACAGCATTTAATGAATTCCTCAATGCAACCACCACTTCCTGGAGGTCCAGGTGGTCCAGTACCTGGACGACCACCTCAAGATATGTCCTCACCATCAATGATGGGTCAATCCCAATATAATGGACCTCCAATGGCAACGAAACAAAATCTTCCCGGTCCACCATTATCTGGACAACAAAATTTGTCCACAACTGGACAAACAATGGGCCCGCCATTACCCGCAATGAATTCATCGATACAATCACCAATTTCCGGTGGTCCACACGATTTATCAGGTCCCTCAATGATGGCTCAATCGCAATATACCGGACCACCAATGGCGGTAAAGCAAAATAATCCCCTTTCCGGTTCTCAATTACCAGGACAACATAATTTATCTCAATCTCTATCCGGTCCCGGACAACAAACAAATTCTCCTTCCGGTCCTCCTTTACCCGGACAACAAAATTCTCATTCTGGAGCTGGTCCTCCACATAATTCCGGTCCACCTTTACCCGGACAGCAAAACTCGTATCCCACTTCTCAAATTACCTCCGGTCCTCCTTTACCCGGACAACAAAATTCTCATCCTGTAGCTGGTCCTCCACATACTTCCGGTCCACCTTTACCCGGACAGCAAAACTCGTTTCCTGCTTCTCAAATTACCTCCGGTCCTCCTTTACCTGGGCAGCAAAATTCTCATCCCGGACAAAATTCCGGACAAGGGAATTTAACAGGACCTCCAATGGCGGGACAGCAAAATTGGCCAGGTGCAATTTCGGGACAGCAGAGTCATTCGGGTCCGATAGGCGGTCCTCCAATGCCGGGGCAACAAAACCATTTGGGTTCAATGGTAGCGCCTCCTTTATCGGGTCAGCAAAATCATTCGGGTCCAATGGGAGCTCCTCCGTTACAACAAAATCGTTCGGTATCAAGTTCTCCAATGCCGGGACAACAAAATCATTCCGGTCCTAGTGGAGGTCCTCCAATGCCGGGACAACAAAATCATTCAGCTCCCCCAATGCCAGGTCAAAATCATTCGGGACCATTGTCAAGTTCCCCTATGCCTGGACAACAATCTCATTCGGGTCCAATGAGAAGTTCTCCAATGTCTGGTCCTTCGATGTCGGGACAACAAAGTCATTCAGCTCCAATGTCTGGACCTCCAATGCCTCCAGGTTCAATGGGAGCTCCTCCACTATCAGCTCAACAAAATCATTCGGGTCCCATTGGCGGTCCTCCGCTATCGGCACTACAAAATCATTCAAATCCTCCAATGCCCGGACAACAAAATCATTTGGGTTCAATGCCAGGTCAATCTGGTCCAATTGGAGGCCCACCACTACCGGGACAACAGAATTTCTCTGCTCCAATGGCTGGTGGTCCTCCAATGTCAGGACAACAGAATTTCTCCGGTCCAATGGGAGGTCCTCCAATGCCGGGGCAAAATTTATCCGGCCCTCCATTGTCATCGGGTCATGGTTCGATGCACTATCCAGGACAACGAGGTCTCGCTGGTCAACAATCGTTGCCAAGTATGCAACCCCATTTGGCGAGTAGTCAACCACCGGGTATGAATCAGTATGGACCAAAAACTGGGTATATGCCGGGTCAACCTGGTGGTGTGGTTCGTCAGCAGGAGCCACCAATGCCGGGCTATCAACAAAATTATCAACAGGTATGCACATATTCAAATCAAAATATACAGTATCTTTGTCAGTTTCCTTACTGTAAAATTAGTAGATAATTAGGCAAGACATTCTTATTTTATTTCACATTAAAGAGACATCTTCTGGTAAAAGTCAAGATTTTGATAACTTTTTTCCGAAATGCTGTATCCAGAGTACCTCTGATATTGATTGTGGAATTTTTAGTTTTAACTTTCATTTATAGGTTTTGACGAATTCGACAAAAAGATAACAGTTTTCTTAATTAAAGAGAATCTGATTCAAATGAAACAGTTTCTGTTTAAATAAAACCGTTTCCTCTATTTCTGATTGGAACTCTGGTTTGCATGTATTAGCTCTAGAATTACAACACTTATCCAAGTAAATTTGGGTACGATCTAAAGAACCATAACTGATTCAATGAGATATTTATGTTTTCACCTTGTCTCTCTCTGTTTAGTGACCGTTACCGTTAAAAAGCGTCTATTTGGACGCCTAGTACGGAATATGGGAATTACATTGAGTGACACTAGAGTGGAGAGATAAGTTGGTCCAAACAAAAAGTAATTTTATCATGACTTAATCTTTGAAACAAGCATATGACTACTGGCAAAATCAACCAGGGATATAAACAATAATGTTGATTAGGGACCTTCACGGAATCGAAACAAATTCATTTATTCAATTTTAGTTGCGTCTCTGATCGGAATATTAGAATAAAAATCAACTTTGTTTAGTTTTGATTCAGGTACTTTTGATTCCGTTCGTTGAACGCAACAAAAGTAGAATCTATTATACTTTCGATTCCGTTGGACAAACGAAACGAAATTTCGTCAGATTACTTCCACATCTGATTGAAATAACTGAATTCCAATTTTTTCACTATGAATAGTAATGTGACGGATTTTTGTTTCGTTCACCAAACGGTATTAAAAGTAAATTCTACTTTCGTTTCCTTTAACTAACGGAACTTTTCTTAACTTTTTACTTCGTATTTGCATTCAGAAAAACACGTGTCTCCATTTTTCGTATAATTCGTTTAAATAATAAATTTTTTATTACATATTTAAATAGGGCACTATCACTTTACCCAGTATTTGAAGTTAAATTAAACCATTTTTTTTTTTTGGTTTATATATTAGAGTTCTTAATGTAAACAGTTTTTCTTGATTTTCTCGCAGTTTAACTGAAATGGCGCTTACCTAAGTTCTTCCTTAGTACGACAGTATATAAATCACTGTGAGAAAATTATGATGAGAATGCTGACTTTATATGAGAGCCACGAGAGATTTTTGCTTCAAGATCCGCTATTCGTCCCGAAAAAAACGAGAATCTACTCCTCAGGCTCATACTGATGACTTTTAGTAGTAGATTCTAGCTTTTTTTGGGGGCGAATAGCGGATACTGAGGCAGAAAAATTTGGTTGTTGGCATGAAAAGTCAGCAGTCTCACCATAATTTTCTCAATGTAATTAAGAAATTGAGCTGTCGGATCAAAGAAGGGCACATAATCCATTTGAATTACATTAGTTATGTGCCCTTCTTTGATCCGGCAGCTCAATTAATTTGATTAGAAGCAACTGACGATAAAAGATGACTTTTAAGACTTCGATATTAAATCGAAGAGTTCTTAGGGAATCGATAATTTTTAGCAGATTAGTGTCGTTTCTTTAGTACGGCTATAATCGGAGATGTCTCTTGCTTTAAAGAATGTGTCGAATTCTCGTTCCAAAGAGCGGAGTGTGCTGCGATTTTATTTTTTGGAAAAAGCTATGCTGTTCTTTCGTTGGTTTAAATTCTCGATAGCGCTGTAAAAATCTTTTGGATCCTAATTGAATCCAAACTGCAATAGTACCATTTTGTACAATCAGCGAACTAGAAGCATAACTTGTCCGAATAAAAATTGTTCTACGCTTTTGTGAATTTGGAACAATACGATAATTTCGGGGGTGGGATTTTAAATAATTCTCCTTGCCAGCAGGGGTATCAAAATGTGCCCGACATGTACGCTAGCCAAAGGAGTCCATATCAAGGTGGATATCAACAGGGACAACAACAACAACAGCAGCAGCAACAACAACAACAGCAAGCTAGAAGACTAGATCCCGATCACATGCCAAGTCCCATACAAGTAATCCAAGACGATAGACGTTCACGAAGCGGTGATTTTATCACCAATCAAAAAGGATTAGTTCCTCCTCTAGTGACCACTAAATTTACCGTACAAGATCAGGGTAACGCATCGCCTAGATATGTGCGTTCAACAATGTACACTGTACCAACGACAACGGATATTATGAAGCAGACAAGTGTTCCATTTAGTTTGATACTAAGTCCAATGGCACGTGTCGAAGATGGTGAATATGAACCACCAGTTGTCGATATGGGAGAAATTGGTCCAGTACGTTGTGTTCGTTGTAAAGCGTACATGAGTCCATTTATGCAATTCATTGATTCGGGTAGACGATTTCAATGTATGTTCTGTAAAGCAACAACTGAAGTACCAGCTGAATATTTTCAACATTTAGATCACACTGGTCAACGAATGGATAGATATGAACGTCCTGAATTAATGCTTGGTACTTATGAATTTATTGCAACTAAAGATTATTGTCCGGAGAATAAATTTCCCAATCCACCGGCAATGATATTTATCATTGATGTCACATACAATACAATAAAATCGGGTTTAGTAAATTTAATATGCGCTGAGATGAAGAATATTATACATAATTTGCCAATTGATGTTGGACAAACGAGAACAAATATGAAAATTGGATTTATTACCTACAATAATACGGTGCATTTTTATAATATTAAATCGTGTCTTGCACAACCGCAAATGATGGTTGTTGGCGATGTACAGGATGTTTTTATGCCATTGCTGGATGGTTTTCTATGCGATGCTGAAGAAAGTTTAGAAGTTATTAACAGTCTAATGAGCCAAATACCAATGATGTTTGCCGATACACGTGAAACGGAGACAATACTCGCGCCAGCAATTCAGGCAGGATTGGAAGCATTAAAAGCATCGGAGTGTGCTGGTAAATTATTGGTGTTTCATTCGTCACTACCAATTGCTGAGGCGCCGGGAAAATTGAAAAATAGAGATGATAGAAAATTACTTGGCACTGAAAAGGAGAAAACTGTTCTTGCACCACAGAATAATGTTTACAATACACTTGGTCAGGATTGTGTTACAGCTGGTTGTAGTGTTGATCTTTTTATTTTTAATAATTCCTATATTGATATTGCAACAATTGGACAAGTTTGTCGTCTAACTGGTGGTGAGGTTTATAAATATACTTATTTTCAAGCTGACATTGATGGCGATAGATTAATTGCTGATGTTATTAATAATATCAGTAGACCAATTGCCTTTAATTCTGTGATGAGAGTTAGAACGTCCACTGGTGTAAGGCCAACGGATTTTTATGGTCATTTTTACATGTCAAATACAACGGATATGGAATTGGCGAGTATTGATTGTGATAAGGCAGTGGCAATTGAAATTAAACATGACGATAAACTTGCCGAGGAAGAGGGTGTTTATGTACAGGCAGCACTACTTTATACTTCATGCGGTGGTGTTAGAAGATTGAGAATTATTAATATCAGCTTAAAAACATCATCACAAATGGCTGAACTTTATCGAGCTTGCGATCTTGACGCTATTATTAATTTCTTCTCGAAACAAGGTATGTGTGAAGGAGGGGACATTTTTTTTTATACCTTTATTTATCACACTCGGTCCAATGGACCCGATGTTTTTTTTTCTTTCATCTAAATATTTATTTTCAATAAAAATTTATAAATTTTTAATAAATAAATTTACATTTTCAATAAAAAATTTTTAAATTTTTAAAAAATAAATTTTAATTTTCAATAAAAAATTTATAAATTTTTAATAAATAAATTTAATAAAGAAAAATTTGTAATTAGAAAAATAATTTGTACAGTTTTTTTTTTCTTTTTGCAAATGATTGATTTAATTTTTGTTCTTTCAATGAGAATTTAATTTTAAATAATTTAAATAATTAATTAAAATTTATTTATTTTTTTTTGCTGCAGGTGTTTTTAAATTATTAGAACACTCGCCAAAGGCAGTGAAGGAAAATCTCATTTCGAGATGTGCAAATATGTTGGCAGCTTATAGGAAAAATTGTGCGGCTCCAAGTAGCGCTGGACAATTAATTCTCCCTGAATGCATGAAACTTTTGCCTCTCTATGTCAATTGTTTAATGAAAAGCGATGCAATTTGTGGTGGTTAGTAAATTTTTTCTTTTTTATTTATCAAAAAAAAAAAATTTTTTTTTATTTTTCTATTAAAAAATTGTCTAAAATAAAAATTTTCTTTTTCAGGACTTTTTGTTTTTTTAAATAAATTCAAATGAGAAATTTTTAATTTATAACACTTTAGTTACTTTATAAAATTTTCATTTATAATATTTTAATATTTAAAAAATTTTCTATTTATAAAAATATAATTTTAATTTGAAAAATTTTAATTTATAATATTTTTATTTAGAAAATTGTAATTTATAATAATTTAATTTGTACAATTTTAATTTTAGAAATTTTTTTTTTTTATTTGTATAATTTTAATATTAAGAAAAAAAATTTAATTTATTATATTTTAATTTAATTTAATTCCTGAAATTAAAATTGTTTTTAAAAATTATAATTGAAAATTTTAGTTTATTTGGGAGTTTTTTTTTTTTTAATTAAAAAACAAATTATTGTTGTTATTTTGTAATTGATTTTATAATTTTTTTTAAAGGTGCGGACATGACGATCGACGACAGATCATATGTGATGCAGGCTGTTTCCATAATGCCGGTCTATACGTCAGTCAATTATTTTTATCCCCGAATGCTTCCACTACACAATTTGGATCCACAGGAAAAAGATTTACCTCAAATGTTGCGGTGTTCAGTCGATAAAATTACGGACGACGGATGCTATTTACTTGGTAAATGTTATTTTTTTTTAATTATCCATTAAATAATTTACAAAGATAGAAATTCTACAAAAAATATATTAAAAACCATTTTTTTTGTTATTTATTATTTAATTTAAACAAAGAAATTTTAATAAATTTAATTTATTATTCATTTTATTATGAAATTAATTTAATTAATTAATTTCGAAGATTCTAATTTTTTTTGTGAAAAAAATACAATAATGTAGAATTAATATTCAATTAATTTATAAAATAATGATAAAATTTGATTTAATTATTTTTCTTTCACAATTAGAAAATGGAATTCACATGTTTTTGTGGCTTGGATTGGGACTTAATTCCCAATGGGTACAAGGAGTATTTGGAGTTCCATCTGTCGTTCAAATTGATACGGATCGTACGAAAATTCCTGTTCTTGACACTCCGCTCAATAAACGAGTCAATGAAATAATCAATTGTGTTCGCGCTGATCGACATCATTGTATGCGGGTGAGAATTCAATTTTCTTTTAATTCTCTTATTTTTTATTCAAAAGCAAGAATATAAAAACCAATTTTTATAGGGATATAAAAATTAATTATATTAATATTTGTCCAGTTATGTAAATAATGCATTATTCTATTTATTTATTACGTAAATATTATGGTTAAAAAAAATTGCAATTTAATTAGAAATTAGATTTTCTTTGATGAAATAATTTTTTTTTGTTTTTTGAATTTATCTTGTATGTGTGTTTCTTTTTGTTTCTTGAAAATAAAAATGTAAAAATTTAATTACAGTTAACGATGGTGAGACAGAGAGACAAATTAGAAATGGTGTTTCGTCATTTCCTCGTCGAGGATAAAGGAACAGATGGAAGTGCAAGTTACGTTGATTTTCTCTGCCATATGCACAAAGAAATACGTGCACTCCTTAGCTAATGAATCAATTAATAAATTAATATTAAAAATTTCAAAAAATAAAATAAATTCAATCGAATTGTCTAATAAAAATAATAATAACAATTATAATCGAAGGAAAGAGAACGAGCGAGAGAGAGAGAAGATTGCATTAAAGAGAAAATTACAAAATAAAATATATCCCATTCACGTGATGAAAGTGAAAATTGTAGTTTTTAATATAAGGAAAGTATATCTAACTAATAAATTACAAGAGATGAAAAATGGCTTTGTAGAAATAAATAAAAAAAAATGATTTTTATGCCTTGCATAAAAATTTTACAATGAACATTAAAAAATGATAAATAAAGTGCGAAGAAGATAAAAGTGCGCACATTCAGTGATTTCTATAAAACAAAAAAAAAACAAAAAAATGAAATAACAACTGTGAAACGTAAAAATTGTATTATTGAATATTTTATTTAGTCCATAATATATATATATATATATATATATATATATATATATATATATATATATATATAAATAGAATATGCAAATTGATAATTTAAAAATTACAGTTTTATTTGAAAAGGAAAAGTAATTTTTTAATTTTACAAATTATTCTATGTCCAATCAATCAATGTGCAAATTTTTATTCGAAATTAGAGACATTTTAAAATGGAATTACGTTTTTATGTAAATATACTCGAGTGGTAAAAAAAAACCAAGCAGTTAAAATATTTCGTTATGTCACTTTTTAAATAAAAATGTATAGACATTTTTTTTTTTTTTTTTCATTGTAGATTCATTATAATTTTTTTGCCACCGATTTTTTAATTTCGGTTATTAGATTTGTTGTTTTTTTTTTTTTTTAAAAACACTGTATTTTCCTTTTTTTTAACAGAAAAAAGGATATTTTAGAATAGGTGTTGGCAATTGTCTATAATTAAAGTCAGAAAAAAAATACGTTACTCAATTGTTTTTCTGTGTAATTTCTTTAAATTCTATTATAAGTTTAATATAAATTTATTTCTGAATTTAATATGCTATTTTTTATTTCATCGAATGGTGTATTTTTTACCGAAACTTAATTTTTCTTCGTTTTATAAAGTTAAATTATTGTTAATAATTATTAACAATTATATAATTAATAATATAATCAATAATTTTTATTTATTTATTTATTTTTTTTATTTTATAAAGTAATGAAATTAATCAAAATTATTATTATTAAAATAAAATTATGAAAGGAAAGTAAATAATTAAATAATAATGAAAATAATATAAATTAAATTAATTACTTAATATAAATTAAATAATTAAAATAATTCTTTGTCTTTTTTCATCAAAATAAAATTAAGTTATAAAAGTAAATAAATAATGAATAACAATTATATAATTAATAACTAATAATTAATAATTAAATAAAGTTTTAAAAATATATTTTATTCTTCGCAAAAATGTAATAAAAAAAATTTCTGCGTTATTAAATTATATTTTTAAATTTATTGTCATTTTCCCGCGCATCTGCGCGCAGAGGTATCGTGAAACATAACCTCAAATTTCTCATCCATTTCGTGTTGTTCGTGTGCGTGTGACGCGTCGCATAAACTTTCTTCTATATTATGAGATTATTTGTTCAAAATATTGAAAAAAAATTGTTATCTTTTAATTTAATTATTTGCTTATTACTAAATAATAAATTACGGAATAATAATTTATCAATGTAATAATAAATCTTCGACAAAAAATTATTTTCGTGAAAAATCGCGGGAATAAAACAATGGATATAAGGTAATAAATTTTAATATCTAAAAAATAATTCGAAAAAATTTACAATATTTTAAATTATTCTAAATTTATATAATAATTTTCTATATATGAAATTTTGTGTCACGTTTCACATGTAAAAAAAAAAATTTAACGGTAAATTAATACATTTTGAATTTTTTTTTTGTTCTGCGCATGTGCGCAGAAGCGTGTAATATAACCTTAAAATTCCTTCCTCCATTTCGTGTTTGTGCGCGGTCGTGCTAGAATCAACTACCCACAAATTAAGTGTGATTAATTATTGAAATTATTAGGAAAATTGTTGTCGAATTTTAATTTAACTGCGAAACAATAATTTATCGAAGTAATAATAATGAACGCGTTCTTTGAGTAAAATTATTTGCGAAAATCACGAAAATATAACATGAATAAAACGCACCAGAGTGTGAGTGAAAAAGGTAAGAAATTTTATAGTTTCAATTATCTTGATATAATAATTATATGCACGAAATTTGGTGGTAAAATTAAGAAATTTTAGTGAATTTATAATGTTGTGTACAAAAAAAAAAAAACATTTTGGTGAGTTACATGAGAAAAGTAAAATTTTGTTGTAAATTTACTATCGATTTTAGTGTAACGTCTGTTGGTAATATCATGCAGTTATTTTACCGACGTATAAAAAAATCGGTCGGTAAAATATAAATATCTGCTGATAATTACAACCTGGTGGGAAAAATGACGTTATTTTTCAGTTTCTGGTGTAAAAATAACCAGTAAAATAAAATTTCAAGAGTGTAGAATTAAAATGATTTAAACGTATATTAAAAATTTAGAATTTGCTATTAATTTACTTTGAATAAAATTTTATTTTTGGCATATGTGTGTAATTCAATAAAAATGCTTTTCTTTCACATACTATTACGAATTAAATTTTTGAGGTTAGAAATACAAAAGCGTGTAAAATAAATAAATTGAATATTAGAATTCGACAGTAAGTAAATTTAAATTAATATCATTTTATTGAAATCGAATCAAATATTAATATTATAATTTAAAAAAAAATAATAATAATAATATAATAAAAATAATTATGTTTATATACGGACAATAATATGAATTGAAATTATAATTACTTTTAGAATGAAATTAATAGCTTTTTCTAAAAATGCAGTAAAATTAATTTCGCATTAATACAAACATAAAGTATATATATTTTTTTTTATTTTGAGGTTATGTTCTCTCGTACTGCAGTTTTTTTTTTAAATATCGATAATTAACGCTGCTAATTAGAGATATAATTTTCGATATTAATGAATAAAAATGTTTACAAATTTATTATAATTATATTTTATTATTATAATATAACATAATATTATTTTATTTATTATAATTTAATTTTCAATTAAAAATGGAAATATATTTCAGTAATTTGTAAATGCATAAATTTTTTATTATATATAATTTAAATAATTTTTAATTTTATAAACATTGAAAATTAGTTTTTGAGCAACAAAAAAAATTGTTTTATTAATTTAATTTCATAAATTTAATTAATGAAATTTAAATTATTTAATTATATTTAATTATATTATTAATAACTAATTTAAATAATTAATTTAATTAAATTATTAAATTTAATGTTTCAATAAATATTAATTTAAAAAAAATTAAATAATTAAATTATTTTTATTTTTAATTTTATAAATTTATTTAATTTGTTAATTTAATTAAAAAAATTAAAAAAATCATTTTCTTTTCTTAATTTTGTTTTATTTTTAATAACAAAATGAGGAGAAATATTTTTATTGCATTTGTTTTTTGAGAAAAAAGAAATTATAAAAAAATATTTTTCTATCTAAAAAGGAAATTGAGTAATTAATTTTTTTTTTAATTAATAAACTAAAATATATTAAATTGTAATAGTTTTTTTTTTTTTTTAATTCTTTTTTGTCAATAATTTAAAAATGATTTATTTGCAGTAATTTTTTATGTAAATTATTTATTTAAATTAATAATTTTTTATGGACTTTAAAACATAAAAATGTTTACAAATTACTGAAAATTATATGCTACTTGTTTTTATTTATTTATTTATTTAATTGTAATAATGATAAATGAAAATAATTTAATTTTGAATTTTCTCGATCGAAATTAATGAAATACGCAAATGGAAGAATCATTAGGTTGACAAAGATCACAATTAATTATGCAATTTGTTAACACACGTGACCTCATGTCACCTTTAATGTTTCCAATTTAAATTTCTTTTCATATTTCCAAAACGAAATGAAATTTATCGTGATTTTGTTTATCAAATATTTTTTTAATTTTAATAAAATAATAATAATAATTTTATATTCATGGCTTTTTGTTCAAAATTAAAAAAAAGAAAAGAAATATTTTTTCCAAAAATAGTTCCCATTAATTTAAATTTATCTAAAAAGAATTATTATTATTATTATTATTATTTTTTTTGAAAGGGAAAGAATAAAAGAATTAACGATGATTAGTGTAAAACATAATATTTCTAATCTATTTACAAAATTATAAAACTGTTTACTTTACACTATTTAAGCTGATAAAAAAAAAAATAATTTTATTTATGAAAACGAAAAAATAAACGATTATCACAATTTTTATATATATATATCTATGAAGAGAGATTTGTTTTAGAAAATATAAATTAAATGAAAAAATATAAAATATAAGAACACAATAATTTAAAAATGACAAATCAATTTTAACATTGGCGCTTAATTTAATTTTTCATGAACCTTCTTGTTTCCTTGACCTGTTAACTTTTTTTTTTTTTTTTCTTTTCTTTCTTTTTTTTAAGAAACCAGAATTCATCAATATTTATTAGTATTTATTTTTTCTTCTCCTTTTGATTAAAATAAGTTTTCCTATAGAAATTATAAAATAATCCCAAATTTAATGCCATATTTAAAAACATTATGCCAAATGGAATTTTTGGCAATGGACACGATTTTGGAAATGCGAAGAATAATTGAAATAATAAAATGACAAATTGAACCTGAAAGACAAAAATAAAAATTTCGATAACTTTATAAATATATATATATATATATATAGGGTAATTTTTATGTTCCGGACCCCCTAAATATTATTTTTTTAATTACATTTTTTTGTTTAAGAAAGGAAAAATTAAAAAAAAATTTTTTTTAGGGTGTCCAGATTCGAAATATTGAGTTTAAGTTTAATGTTGATATTTCGATATATCGAATCAAATTTAAAATCGATAATCACGTAAACAATTAATATTTACTAATTGCTCAAATTCATTAAATATTAATAAGTAAATTAAACAAAAGTATTAATCAGATTTTAATTAATTCAATGTAATTATTTAAATTAGTTATAATTTAAACCAAAAACATAATTTAAACTCAATGTAGTCGACTTACTATAAAAGTTATATTTTTCGCTAAAATTTAATAATAAAATACCGTTTTTAGACAAATTAATATTCTTTATTTTTAATGTATGTACTTTCGGTATGTGTGTTAGAAAAAACATTTTTTTTTCCAATGGACAAAAAATAGATTTTTAATTATAATTTCAAAATAATTTCTTTTTTTTAACCATTGTCTCGTGGTTTTTATAATTACGGGCATATGAAACATATGACGTCATCTATTCAATTTAATTAACTTGTTTACATTGAGTTTAACTATTTTTAAATTTTAAAAATAATTTTTTTTAGACTTAATTCCTTTGCTGTGTATGCAAATGAATTTTATTTTTTTTAATTATTTTATAAATGAGAATTTTTATTTTTCTCCTATTTGTTACCATGGTAACTACTTAGAAGAAATAATTTATTTATTTATTGAAATTTAGAATTATGTAGAAGTACCCTAATTTTTTAATGTGAGCAAATTATCCCAGTGTGTATGGGGCTTAATGCTTTCGAACATCAATAGCTATCCTTGTCTTACGTACATGTTTCCATAGTAACGTAAGACAAGAAACAAAAACGTAAATATTTCCTACTAATATTTAATAATTTAATAAAATAATATTTTAATAGTATTATTAATAATAAATAATAATAATTAATACAAAATTAATTATTTCGAATGTTTGACGTCATAAAATTTGTATCACAAGCCCATAAAAAAAATTAAATTATATTTAAATTAAAATAATATTTTAATAATAAAAATTAAAATAATATATAATTGTAATTAGATGTTAGTTTTAGTTTCGACTTGTGGCTGAGTATATCATAGCAGTAATAATATTAAATTAAATATTATTGCAGTAATAATTTTAAATTCACAAAAATAACAACTAATCGATTGTTAATCATTGATATTTTAGTGTTAATGAAGATGATTCAACGTGATGTGAACGAAAAGCTTATAATTAAGAAGAATATATATTTTATACATTGACTTGACATGAAACTTCTAAAATTTACACCAATACTTATAAAATAATATACAATTAATTTAATATAATTAAATATTATATTTATAATTACCATTTGTATAATTGTTAAATAACGTTTAAATGGTAATATCTTCTGTTTAATTGATCCTTCAAAATTACTAAAGAAATAATAAGTATACATAATCACATGAACTGAACAATTTAAAATTGGAAACAATAAAGCCATGTTCACACTGAAATATCGTGAAAATATCATTCCAATTAAAACTGTACTTATATGATGATAGACATGTAAAATTGTCACTTGGCTTTTCTTTTTGCGAAGTATAAACAAAACTGTTTCAATTAAATCGATTATTTTCAATAACATTGTCACATAACTGCCGTACATTATCTGCAATTAATTATTATTATTGTCAATTTATATTTCTAACAAAAATAAAACTGAGAATTTGGTATAAAAAAAATTTTTTTTAAGTTATTTTAGTTTTTAACATTTTAAAAACTAAAATACTTAATATAATGTTTACTTTCTAAATCTGAATTAGTAAAAATGTTTACTAATTTAAATTAGTGACTCACTTTTTGCTTTAGAATTATAGTTAAATTTTACTAATTGTTAGTAAAAGTTACTAATAATTAGTAAAATTTTACTTTATTGAGAAGTAAAAAGTGAGTCACTAATTCAAATTAGTAAACTACTTTACTAATTCAGATTTACACTGAAAAAAAATTCTGGTTAGGCTATATTTAACATTACTTTCTAGTTATGTTAACCAGAATTCTAGTTGAATTAACTAGAATTCTCGTTAAAATAACCAGAATTCTGGTTATCCTAACCAGAATCAAAATGTTAATTATACCCTAACCAGAATTCTGGTTATTCTAACTAGAATTCTGGTTATTCTAACTAGAATTTTTTTTCAGTGTAGAGAGTAAAAATAAATAATTACAGTGGAAAAAAATGTATTTAATTCAACTAATTGGTTGACTCTTATCAAATAAATATTTACTTGAACCAAATAATTTTTATTTGAATTAATGAAACTGTAGTTGTAGGAATAATTTCTGTATTTAATAAAAGTAGAATTTAATTGACTCAAAAATTATTTGCTTCTGGTAAATATTTACTTGATAATAGTCAACCGATTAGTTGAATTAAATAATTTTTTGTTTCCAGTGTAGGTAATAAATATTTTAGAAACTTATTATAATTAATAATTTAATTATAATAAAAGTAATTGAACGACATTATAATTTGTAATAATTGTTTACAATAATTTTAAATTAAATAAATAGTAAATAAATAGTAAATAAATAGTAAATAAATAGTAAATAAATAATAAATAAATAATAAATAAATAATAAATAAATAATAAATAAATAATAAATAAATAATAAATAAATAATAAATAAATAATAAATAAATAATAAATAAATAATAATAATTTTGATTAAGGTACGGAAACATTTTGTTTAAATGTAAAAGTACAACTACCCAACCCTGTAGTTTAGTACAGAGGAACATCCGAAATGTGACACTTGATAAATGACACGTAAAATTTCCATATATGACAATAACTTCCCCCTCTCCATAGTGTCACATATCGGAGGTTCCTCTTCAAAGAAGAAATTGACCACAATTTCGAAAATGTTTTTAGGTTATGTTTGTTTTTCCTACACGAATAAATTAATTAAATTTCTATAGTGAAAAAATATATCAAAATTTTTGAATTAATATTATATATTAATAATGAAATTCAATTAATTTAATAATATCTGATAATAATAATAATAATAATAATAATAATAATAATAATAATTAAAAAAATACTTTTGTGGCACATGGATCCATTGTATAAATAACTTCACGACATTCAAAGGCACGATGAAATTGATAACATGATGCAAATTCTTTAACTAAAATAGCATTTGCTATAACTTGAAAAATATTATAACATTTAATGAATGTATTAAATTTATAGGCGGGCCGATTTTTCATATATTCCGGTGCTAATTTAAATATAACAATAATATAAAATAATACTATTAAAATAGGACTCCATATGCTTTTCATTAGAAACCAATTTTTCATTCGAGGATCTGAAAAAATAAAATTTAATTACCTAATGGTATAATTTTGTTTTTAATTTAAAAAATTTTTTTTATGTTTTTAAATAATTTTTTTAAAATTTTATAATTTTTAAGATGTTTTTTTTTTAGTTATTACTTATAAATATTCAAAAATAACTGAAAAATGTAAATTAAAAAAAGAAATTTTAATATTAAAAATTATTTTACATTTTAATTAATTATAATTAATTAAAATGTAAAAATATATTTATAATAATAATCTAATAATATAATAAATAATTGTAATAATAATAATAATAATAATAATAATAATAACAGTAGGTAATAATAATAATAATATATTTTTATATTAGGTACATTAAAAGTTAATTAAATTTTTTTATTAGAAATAAAATATTAAATTATTTTAATTTAAATAATTTTAATTTGACATATTTAATTGATTTTTAATTATTAATTGGAGAAAAAAATTTTTTAAACCTATTATAATATTTGGTTATTTAAAAAAAAAAATTTCTCCTTATAATTTCTAAGTAGAAAAAAATTATTATTATTATTACTTAAAAAATTTTTGGAAATTAAAAAAGTAAATTTGAAATTAATATACTATTATATACTCACCGGCTAATTCTACATAATAATAGTCGATAATTTCTAATAGTCCCATTTTTTAAAAAATTAAATTTTTTATTTATTTATTTTATTTAAAGACAAAAAACCACAAACTTGAAATATATAATAACAAAATTAAAAAAAAAATTAAATCTCAAAATCAATAAGTGACAAATACTGATCATTCACTTGATGCTGATGGTCTTGACTTTTTCATACTGACTTTTGTTGAGACAAATAGGAAAAGCTTCGTAAAATTTAAAAATCAAGTAAAAAAAAACAAAAATTTAAACGTAAAATGAACGTTTTAATGAATATTCGATATGGCAACAGCACTTGACCTATTCTTTTCAATCCATTTATTATTTACAAAACGATGCGATGCACTTAATAAATAGTTGTTTCTTGTTTTTTTTTTTTTTTTTTTTTTAATTTAATTTTTATCTGTGAAAGAAAAAATTCATATTTTAATTTTTTTTTTTGATAATTTATATGTTTAATATATTAATTAATTAATATTATACCACGGGAATAGAAGAAATAATAACAAACAATTTTTGAAATAAATATTTATTAAATAATTTTTATTATCCCGTGTGGAAAAAGCCACGATCTTGCCCTCAAGAGTTCGGGGCCCCCGGCGGGGGCCCATGAGGGCTGATCCATATGGCGAATCCATGAGGGGCACCGTAGGGGCCCCGCATGGATCGCCCTCATGATCGATTAGCAAAATTTTCTAAGTCCAAAAATCAAATATTTTTTTATCACCAAAAAATTAATGTTTATAATGATTCACAACAATGAAAAACGCGTTTTTAATTAAAATATATTTTCACTTTTTTTGAAAATAACACTCACACTTATGGCGAATCCATGAGGGGCACCGTAGGGGCCCCGCATGGATCGCCCTCATGATCGATTAGCAAAATTTTCTAAGTCCAAAAATCAAATATTTTTTTATCAACAAAAAATGAATGTTTCCAATGATTCAAAACCACGAAAAACGCGTTTTTAATAAAAATATATTTACACTTTTTTGAAAATAACACTCACACTTATGGCAAAATAGATGAGGGCCACCGTAGGGGCCCGCATGGATCGCCCTCATGATCGATTAGCAAAATTTTCTAAGTCCAAAAATCAAATATTTTTTTATCAACAAAAAATGAATGTTTCCAATGATTCAAAACAACGAATAACGCGTTTTTAATAAAAATATATTTACACTTTTTTGAAAATTCGCCTGAGATGATTCATGATAATAATCATAAAGCATATAATTAATTATATTTTATAAATTGCATTTGATTGGAAAATATAATTTAATATCTTAACTTTAACTAAATGATGTTAAGCACTTTTCTTTGTTAGGTATTTTTCAAGTTTAAATAGCATCAAGAAGTTAGCATTCGTTTTGAAGTAGCGTGCGTAGCGTAGTTGGTAAAGCGTTAGACTCATAGTCCGTAGGTCGTAGGTTCGATTCCCCCCATGCGTTAGATTTATTTATTTCTCAGGTTTGCGTTTAATCATTAATTCTATGTATGAATTAATTGAAAAATGAAAATATCGGTTAATAGTATGCATAAATTACATATTTTTTAATTTTTTAATTAATTAATTTATTATTACTTTTAATTATATCCGACAGTTAATTAATTAGAACGTTAATTAATAAATTCAATTTGAGTAAGAATTTAATTTAAAATTGAATAATTATTAAATAAATATGTTATTTATTAATAACTTAAGCTTATTTATTATTAATTAACTTTTATTATTAATATTATTGATTAAAAAACATTATGGCAAACTTGAGGGCAAGATGAGGGCAAACGTGAGGGCCCATAAGGGCGCCCGTAGGGGCACCCTCATGGATCGCCCATGCGGGCGCCCTCATCGATGAGCATGTCGTTTCCATGAGGGGCCCCTATGGATCATCCATATGCGGCCCTCATGGCATGAGGGCGATCCATAAGGGCCCCCGCTGGGGGCCCACATCACTTTTCCACACGGGATAATATAAATATTTACTAAATAATTTATATTATAAAATAAAAAATACTAAATAATATTTATTATAAAAAATATTAAAAAAAATTATTTACTAAATATTTTTTATAATAAAATAAATACTTGCTTACAAAAAAAAATTTTATTTATTTTTTTTGTTAATGATACTTAGTCCAGTCAAATTAGAATTTTTAGACGTTTTAACTTTCGAACTGAAGGTGTATATAGATAAAATATATGTTAAAAATAGTTGTAATGTCGAATAGATATTTGTAAAAAAAAAAAAAATAATCAATATTTAAAAATTACTAACGCCACCAGTTATCAATACTGTTATAGCAGTAATTTTCCCGTATTGATTATTTTGACAAATGTCTATTAGACATATAATTTACTTTATTTAACATTATTTTTTTAAACACGTTTAATATGTTTAAATAAATGAATTATTAAATATAATTATAACTTTATTTTTTAAAATAGAAAAAAAAATTTCTATGTGATTTATCCACGCAATTTTTAATATAAATATGAAAAAAAAAAAAATTCCACAATTTTTCTATTTTAATTAAAAAGATTATAATTAAAAAAAATTATTCGGTTATTATATTTTAATAATAAAAATAATTATAATTATAATTATAATAATAATAATTATTATTATGTTATTTGCTTACGTCGAAAATTCTTTGTACACTTGAAAGGAGTTATAAAAGATGTTAGTCAGGCGTTATATATTCGAGCAAGTAAAGTCAATTGGAAATTGAAAACAAAGAATTTACAAAATAATTAATATTATAATTTTTAAATTAACAAAATTGCAAAAAAATAGTTGTAAATAATTTAAATTAATAAAAAATTTCTTTTTAAGAATATATATACATTAAGATAGTCTGTTAGCCTGTATACTCTTTAAATAAATAAATAAATAAAGAAAAGCATTACCTATGACGCTAAACAGAATTTTTTTAATCATTTTAAGCTATATAAATGCAAATACTAATAGAAATATTAATATTCTAACGCTGAGAAAAAAAAAATACATTCAATTTCCACTATATATGTATATTTATGCCGGTTTTTTTTTTCACTTCAAAGAGAAAAAAATTTATTTAATTTAAAAATGTCTAATGTTATCAGTTTTAAACAATTTTTTATATATTATTTTTAAATAAAATTTAATAATTCAATAATTTAATTAATTTGAGAATTTAAAAATTCTTAAATCTATTAACTATAATTTGATTTAAAATCAATAATTAGTATTTAGTTCTTCTAGAAAAAATTTAGAATATTTATCGTCAGTCGATAATGAAAATTGTTTCCTTATCAACAAAAGATTTTTTTGTTTGTGCTAAGGCTTTATCGAAAAGTATTTTGCAGTCAGTCGGTAATATAAATTCCTTAAATATCATGAGCCAACATGATGGATTTCTAATTTGCCGATGGAAAAAATATTTCTTTTTTCTTTTTAGTTGCAAACATAATTTTTTTTTACTTTATTCTCATATAAAGAAGATAAAAAAAAATTACAAAATTATTTTTTGGTTTATCATTTAAATCTTTGTTTTTGTTTTTCTTAATTTTAAAGATTTAGAAACTTTTTTTTAATTTTAAATCGAGTTTTAAATTAATGAAGAGCAAAAATTTTTTAAATAATTAAAAAAATATTTTCCATGTTAACCAAATTATAGAGATAAAAAAAATTGCTTGTAGTGTTCGATGTATCACCATTAATCTGAAATTGAAAATTTACCATTAATATCTATATTAAAAAAAAAAAAAATAATAATTATCAGAAATATCATTAAAAAATTATTGTCTTACTTATAATATCGACGTAGATTTCTTTTTTCACTTTTAGGACCAATATCATCTTTAATAACATATTTCAAAACACCCTTCCACATTTCAATAAGTACATGACTCCAATCTACAGTTTCCATATCAAATGGAAATAAAGTTTTATCATCTTTTGAAAGTTTTTTCCATGTTGCTTGAATATTTTTATTCTCAAAATACCATTTTGTTTCCATAAAAAATTCTAAACTTTTCGAGAGTTTTAATCCTTTTTTGTAAAATTTGTTAAGTCTAATAAATAAAAATAAAAGAAATTTATTAATATTATTATTATATTATTATATATTTTCATATATAAATATGAGAAGAAGCAATAAATTAAAATTTTAAAAAAAAATGTATATAAAAATTTACGAATTTTTTTCTTTTTTATAAATAAATATTTATTAGATATACTTACACAGGTTTTTCCCCTAAAATCTTTAAAATAATATCACCGATCAATGCTGGTAATAAGTGAACAAAAAAACTTAAGATATTAAATGTTCTTTTTGATTTAACTAAAGTTGCATCAGGAAAATAAACGGCTGTACTTGGAAGATATTTAGGTCCATGTTCAAGAAGAACTTTCTCAAATATTCCTTTAGTAATTTGATTTTTTTCATTATTTACATAATTATACACTGGTAAAGTGGTACTGGAACTTCTGTAAAAAAAATCTTTCTTTACATTTTAATTTACAATTTACTTAACTCTCGGTATTGTCTGCTCTACTTTTCAGCAATTAAAATTTAGAGAGATTGTAATATTTTAAAGTAAAATGAAAAAACAAACAAAGATTGGCGTTGTCCGTTTTACTTAGAATGCCCCATATATTTTCTTTTTTTTTCTTTTTTTTTTTTTTTACTAAAGTTTTAGTGAAAAATAAATAAATAACCTATTTATTTTGTTACTAGCGTCCCAAATAGAGGCAATAAGGGCGTTGCATGCAAAATCTGCTGGTACAATATAGAGAACATCTTTTCGATCAGGAACAATTATGACGCGTATATATCCCATTGACAACCACACTAAAAATTGATTAAATCCTTGAGCAACGTCAATCCATCCTGCGAATGGTTCTTTATAGGTTCCCAATGCTGTTTAAATAAATAAAATATTTTTTTTTATCCCATACAAAAATACTTAATTGTCCTAAATTTAAATTACCTACAAGTCATATGGACTAAAAAAAAATTAATATTTTTTTTATCAATAAGACGCAAAATAATAGGCCAAAATTCAAAAATTAACTTAAAAGTAGTGTCAATTTTTCAATTTTTAATACATTTACTTAAAAGTTAGTTGAATTAATAATAAAATATACGTATAAATTGTGTTTTTTTTTTGCTTTTAGATCTTTGTGGACTCTACCTTGCACAGCAATTGGTTGGTTTCCATTGTTCTCCACTCGCCAAAGTTTCCACTCGTCATTTGTCATAATTCTCGTCAACTACCGCACCCTGCTCTAGTGAAAATTTAGTAACTTTTAATTTTAACAATAAAGACACTAAATGTTCACTAGAGCCGGTTCCGGTAGTTGATCGAAAATTATGGCGAATGGCGTGTATAGAAACTTTAGAGTTGGGACAATGGCATCCTTCCAAATAGTCTACTATAGCCTGTATGAAATCTGAAGAAATTCAATGAGTGAGATTAGTGTCGTATTGGATTCAGTGGCTAAAAGCAAGTGTTTCATACTAGATAATGAATAATTTGGGAAAATACACAAGGGAACAGAGAAACAGGGCAAGAGTCCAAAATATGTTTGTCCAGAAGGTTGCCATTCCCAAGCAGCACGGTATATTCCCGGAATCTCCCTTGAATATACCACAGTGGAATATTCCCATGATCTTCCAGGAAAATCAAAATGTCCGCCTCATGGAAATATTCCACGGTGACATTCAGGGAATATTCCAGTGACATTGAGGGTAATATTAAAGGAATATTCCAGTGATATTAAGGGAATATTTCACGGTTATATTGAATTTTTTTTAAAGTGTTGAAATAATAAAAATGTGTTATAAATTGTCATTTGTATAAGCAAGAAAATTAAAAACACATTTAAAAAAAAATCAATATAACCGTGGAATATCCCCTTAATATCCCCTTAATGTCACTGGAATATTCCCTTAAGGCCAGGTCCAAGTCGAGTCAGCTGTTCCTTTGAAGTTTCAATGGAACAGCTGACACGACTTGGACCTGGCCTTAATATCCCCTTAATGTCACTGGAATATTCCTAGAAGATCATGAGAATATTCCACTGTGGTATTCAAGGCATATTCAGGGAATACACCGTGCTGCTTGTATTGTTCCTACTCGCTATTTGTCATAATTTTCGTCAACTACATCACCCTGCTGTAGTTGACGAAAATTATGACAAATGGCGAGTAAGGACAGTGGAAGGTCGGTTTCTATCGTCCCCACTCGCCATTTGTCATAATTCTCAACAAATACCACACCTGCTCTAGTGACAATTTGGTGACTCTTGTTAAAATTAAAAGTTACTATAAAGTCACTAAATTTTCACTGGAACAGGGTGCGGTAGTTAATGCGAATTATGACAAATGACGAGTGGGGACAATGGAATTCAACCCAAAGGTCTTTTAGCATAAATTAAGGAAATGATTGGTTGGTTTCCATTGTCCCCACTCCCTATTTGTCATAATTTTCGTCAACCACCGCACCCTGCTCTAGTGAAAATTTAGTAACTTTTAATTTTAACAATAAAGTTACTAAATTTTTACTAGAGCAGGGTGCGGTAGTTGACGAGAATTATGACAAATAGGGAGTGGGGACAATGGAAACCAACTGATTGTAATTGTAAATTCAGAAATGATAGGATATTAAAAGTATATGGAAAGTGATGAGGAAAAGGATGAGGGGTTGAGAACTATGGGGTAATAAGAAAAGGTTCCAAAAGGCTTTCGGATCTGAGATTAGTAGAATTTGTATATGGTTTTAATGTTTCTTGTATAAGCAATTTGTATTGTAAAATATTACATTACCTACAGGAAATCTGTAGATACAAAATGGAAGGTCACTTGCTGTCTCACTTATTATTCCTTCGGCCATTGATTTTGTGAAAACATAAGTGTTTGGATAATCTTGTAACAATCTGAAATGAATTCTCGTTAATTCAATTATGTTTCAAAATTTTTTGTGTGTTCCATAAATTTATGTAATAGAAAAATATATAGCCAATTATTTAATTTACATTTTAGTAAATCGTTTTTCATTTTCTTTGGATAAATTTCGTCGTTTTATTATTTGAATTGTATTTTTAGCTTCTTCATAGGTCATAGGCATTGGATATACTTTTTCTTCTATAATTTTAAGATTACTTTGAATAAATGCTGTAGATACGTGCACAGCTACCTAGAAAATTTTTTTACAATGTTTCTTCATTTTAAGCAATATTTTTATAATCGTAGATATTGAACTTACTTTCAAATTTTTTAATTCTCGACAAAGTTTAATTATTTCTAAAACACTTTCCACATTAATAGACACTGCAATATTTAAGGGTTCATCAAATCTTGTAGTTGCAGCTGAATGAACTACAATCGATACCTTTTAAATTATCCGAAAAAAGACAAAAAAAAAAAAATTAATATTTTTTAATATTTAAAACTATTTTAATATATAAAAGTAAAATAAAATTTAACCTCATTTATAAGCGTCTTACGATCTATATCTGATAAACCTAAACCAGGTTTCATTACATCTCCACTTATAGGAATAACTTTGTTTATTGCAGATGGATTCTTTTCTTTTAAAACATGAAACAACTGTTAAAAAATAATTTCATTTTTTTTTTTAAAGTGATCAAAAAAGAGTTTATTCTCTCTTTAAATATATATTATAACAATTTTTAATATTATACTTACATCTGCGTTAAAATAATTTTCAAATCTCTCTTGAATATTTTTCCCTTTTTTTTCTCTTATTAAGAGATATATTTTTTTAATTTTCGGTAAACCTCTTAAAAATTTTTCCACTAAAATTTTACCAATAAATCCTGTTCCTCCTGTTTAAAATTTTTTTTATTACTCACAAAAAATTTATAATTAATTAAAAAATTTTAAATTCGAAAAATAATATATAAAATTAAAAATGTACCAGTGATAAATAAAGTGTGCTCTTCAAAAAATTGTTGAATTTCAGACATTGTCGTAAAAATTGTTTGGTAATTCTCACCTAATAAAGAATTAAACTTGACTGATAGACGCAATGATATTTAAATTCTAACAAGAATCATTGTTATTGAATTAATGTATGAATTTTTCATTTTCAAAGTGTTTCATATGCAAAAGTTTTATATAAACGTATTTTCAATAACTAATGAACTTTGTATCATTATTTTTTCAAATTTCAATTAAATTATAATTTTTCTCCTCAATAATAATTTTGGATATGAATAATAATGTAGTGACGCGACATTTACACATGTAAATGGTAATATTTTTATTTCATGGATGAATTGGCGAAATTATAGATTTTTTTTTTATATAACATAATCTTAAATATAAGTAAAAAATTAATTTGAGGTTATGTTCGTATTTTAATTCTGTTTTTATCTAATTTTGAGGTTATGTTTGCCGATTTTAATATCAAACCCAGCGTCCCTTTGCCCAAATTTTGAAGTTATCTTTTAATTGATATAAATGAGAATTTTTTAAATAAAAAATTGTGTAAATTGAAATTTTTTAAAATGAAAATTATCTCAAACAGAAATTTGCTACATTAAAAAAATCTGCCAAGTAAAAATTCATTTAAAAAGATTTTAAAAAAATCAATATAGTTTTTGTAATAATTAATAATTATTTTTTTGTAAATTTTTTCAGAGAGAGAGAGAGAAGTAGAAATCCGTGATTTGCAATCGGTAAGTCGTTTAATTTACTATTTTTACAAAGAAAATTAGAAATATTTTATTTTTCTATATAAATATAGGAAGTGCGAAAAAAATTTACATTGTTTACGTTTTTTTTTTTTTTTTTTTTTTTTTTTGATTAAGAAAACAAAAACTTTTTTTATAGGACAAAAAAAGTGAGGCTATTTTTTAGGTACTTTTTTTAAATAAACGTAAACCTTGTATTTGTAAAAAAAATTTTGTACTTTAATTTAAAATTTTTGTGAAAAATCAAATTAATATGTATATAAATTTAATTAATTTTTTTTCTTTTTTGAATTAATATAATTTTTTTGATAAAAATTAAAGAACAATCCAAAATTGAATGAAACATTAATGAACATTGTAACAAGTAAGACTTTTGATATTCCACAATTTTGTATGGAGTAAATTATTATTTGCATTAACATTATCACAAATTGTCCCTGAAAAACAAAAAAAGTAATAATTAATATGTTTAGTTTTTTTTTTGTGTCAAAATAATAAATGAAAAATTAAAGATCGTATAAATATTAACTTCAATGTGAGATTTTCATTAAGAAAAAATTTTTTTTTTTTTTGTATATTTTTTTGCAAAATTTTTATGAAAAATAAGAAAATATGTATTTTTTTATTTTTTTAGTTGATAAAAATTATGGAAGTTATGAATTTTTTAAATTAGTAGGAGAGAGAGAGAGAGAGAGAGAGAGAGAGAGAGAGAGAGAGAGAAACACATTTCCTAAATATTCGGCCTTTGACGACGTTAAATTTAAAAAAAAAATCATAACTTTTATAATTTTTATCAAATAAATAAAAAAAAGTATACGTATTTTCTTATTTTTCATAAAGATTTTGGAAAAAAATGTTTCAATAAAAAAAAAATTTTTTGATTAAAATTTCACGTAGAATGCCCCAGATATATGAGGTATTCCATGTCAAATCAGACACAATTTTGCATTTACATCCTCGATTTTTTTTTTTGAAACTATTTTTTCTTTTACTACTATAATTGTGATTAACTTACACTGATTTTTTACAAATTTTTTTTATAGCAAGCCGTTTACGAAATATAAATTTTTCAAAATTTTCAAAAAATATAAATTTTTATAATTTTTTATTTTTGAATGCCCATAACTTTCTGAAAAATGTATCAATTTTGAAAGTTTTTTTTCCAAAATATGTTTTTTTTTTACGTAAATTTTTCGAAAATTAGGTGCAAAAAATAAAATTCTAATTTTTAATTTACAAAAAATATAGTAAATTATTATTTTTTTAAATTTTTTGCACCGAATTTTTGTAAAATTCATGTAAAAAACACACAATTTAAAAAGAAAAAACTTTCAAAATTGATGCATTTTTAAGAAAGTTATGGGCATTTAAAAATAAAAAAATCATAAAAATTCTGAAATTTGGAAAAATTTATATATTTCCTAAATGGCTTGCTAAAAAAAAAAAAAAAAAATTGGAAAAAGTCAGCAAAAGCTAGTCACAATTAGTACTAAAAGAAAAACAATAAGTTTCAAAAAAAAAAAAAAAATCGGAGAGACAATTGCAAAATGATGTCTGATTTGATGTAGAATACCTTATATAAATGGGGCATTCTATGTAAAGTGGACAACCCTGTATTATTTAAAATATTTAAAAAAAAAAACAAAATTATATCATGGTTATCCGCTTCACGTTGAATGCTATTTATATTTTATTAAGTTATCATTTACCATTTGTATAAGAGTTAAATAGGGTTTGAAAGGTTTAATCAGTTGTTTAATTGGTCCTTCAAAATTACTAAGAAAGTAGTAAAAATACATGATCACATGAACTGCGCAATTCATCAATGGAAATAACATTGTTACTTCTGATGTAAAGTATCTTAAAAAAATCACTCCTACCAAAAAGGTAGATATGTGATGGTAGAGGTGCAAAACTGAAACCTGACTATTTTTTTTTCGTAATAAATAAATTACTGTTTCACTAAGATCAATAAATTTTAAATATAATGTAAGGACAGAAGCGTTTAAAATCTGTAATTATTAATATTATTATTATTATTATTATTATTATTATTATTATTATTATTATTATAAAAAATTTATTTTAACAAATAAGATAAGTAAAATTAAAAATTAAATATTCTACTCTCTAAATCTGAATAAGTGAAATTTTTACTTAGAATTTTTTCAAAAGTATTCTAAGTAAAAATTTCACTTATTCAGATTTAGAGAGTAGAATATAAAATAAAATGTTGATAAATTTTGATACATACCCTCATACTGCATTCATCCAAATCATAAGTAATGAGACGACATTCAAGAATTCGAAGAAATGGATAACAACTTGCCAATTCATATACAATATAAGCATTAGTAATAACTTGAAAAATATTATAAATTTTTATAAATGTATTCAATTTGTAGGCGGGACGATTTTTCATATAATTTACAACAACTTTAAATGAAATATATAAATATATGATTAATGTTATAATTGGAAACCAAATACTACTGATAATAAACATATCTCTCACTCGAGGATCTGAAAATTTATTATAAGGAAAAAATAAATTACTAAATTCTTTTAATTTTTTCTATTTTCTATATCTCTAGTTAATTAAATAAACTTACCAGCATTATCGTAGAAATAATAATTAAAATTTTCTATTAAACTCATTTTGATGAATTAACTATATTAAAAAAAATTTTTAAACTTAAAAATGAAAAGACAAAAAAAAAAAAAAAAAAAAAAAATAAGGATATAGTAAAAGAAAAAATATTATAACTAAATACAATGAATCCAATGAAAGTAAAGAATGATCAGTAAGATTTTGAACAATGTTAACTTGGTTTTATTAATTTTTTGAGAAAAAGGAAATATAATGTTAAATGCGTTTGAATAATTTAATGAATATGCGATGAAAAATGCCATGACCTTTTTGTTATTTATTCTATTTAAATTCAGTAACATTGTTGTAAATTTTGAATTGAATTTATAATTACTCTTCAATAAAGATTGAAAATTATTTTTTTACTTTATATATCACTATACCGAGTTAAGACTTTGGCGATAAATTTCTTTAAAAAAATCTCTTTAAAAAAAAAAATCAAATATTTTTCCAAAAAATTCCAAAATCCCCCTTAAATATATACATATATGGGTTAAAGAATTATAGTTTTTTAATTTTTTTTATATTTTATATATTTTAAAAATTTTTCATGTATATTTAACCATAATTTTTTTTACACATTTTTTTGTTCGTGATTAAAAAAACATTATTTTACAATCAAAGTATGTAATAATAAATATATGAGGCAAAATTTCTGAAGTGATCTAATTAAAAAAAAATAAAATAAAATTTAGTACTATGGGTAAGTACTTCACCCATAAATTATTATCATTAATTTTTATCAAAAACTGTAGTGGATTAAAATTTTAGTGAAATATAAGGGGAAGCATGATTATGTTCTTAAAATCGTTAGAATATTTTAATTTTATGGAATTTCAATTATAATCATTATTTTTGAGTCGAATTTTTATTTGTTCGAATTAGTATTTTGCAGAATTTTCATCAAAACCTATTTCTATATTACAGAATTTTTATATAACGGAAAATTAACTTCACAGAATTTTTATTTGTTTGAATTTTTATTTGTTTGAATTTTTATTTGTCAGAATTTTTATTTGTTTGAATTTTTATTTGTTTGAATTTTTATTTGTCAGAATTTTTATTTACTCAAACTTTCATTTAACATAATAGTCATTTTAAAGAATTTTCATTGGGTAGAATTTTCATTGCATATATTTCGAAATGTTTTTTTTTACTGCTCTTTCGAAATGGTGTAATTTTTTTTTAAATTCAAAAAAAAGGGGTTGAATTTTTAAAAAAAAATTTCCACCATTCGAAAAAGCAGGAAAAAACCTTAGAAAATCAATCAAAAAATTTTTTTTCATCCTTTTATACAATAGTTATGATTTTTCAAAAAATGCAATGCTCACATTTTGGCAATTGGATCACTTCAGGAATTTCGCATATATATTAAAATATTACTTTTATTTTATTAATATAATTTATTTTTTAAAACGTTTTTCCTTTTTTGATTTAATAATATAAGTTTTCTTATAGAACCGAAAAAAGAGATAGAAATTAAAAATGATATTAATCAGAAATATAAGTACTAGTACTTTTGATAATTCACAATTTTGTAAAAGAACAGATGTTAATTGTACAATCATTATACTGAATTGCATCTGAAACAAAGGAATATATATATATAGTTACAAATAATTAATTTATATATAGTAAATAATAGTTTTAAATAATTAAAAAAATTTATTTTTTTTTACCATTTGAGCGATTGTTAGATAACGTTTAAATGGCATAATAATTTGTTTAATTGGACCTTCAAAATTACTGAGAAAATAATATGAATACATTATCACATGAACTCCACAATTCATTATTGGCACCAATATTGCAACTTCACCACAAAAATATCTTGTAAATATTATAGCAATTAAACATGTTGTTATATGATGATAGACATGTAAAATGGATACTTGATTATTTTTTTTTCGCAATATATAAATTACTGTTTCAATGAGGTCAATAATTTTTAAGGCTATTGTCAAATAACCACATTTCATTATCTGCAAATTTAAATTTAAAAAAATTTATTAATATTCTTAATAAATTATAAAAATTTATAAAACATATATAATCTCAAAATAAAAAATTTATTTTTAACAACAATGTCGACAGTATGAAGTATGAGTGTGTATTGTAAAGAGTGGGGACTATTGCACAGTCCTTTAAAACTAATGCATAAGCAGGTGTGGTCAGATTAATTAGTCGCTACTCAAAGTGATAGCACGGTTAGTAAATTGTCTTCCAAAAAGACTCAGTGAAGCTTTGGAAGGATTGATTATCTCCAAGTTTTTGTACTTTGCTTGTTAAATAAATAAAGTAGAGTTTGTTCTCAGTTGAGTAACCAACTCACAAAAATAATATTATTAGTTGTTTCTTACGGCGACAACATAATTGGTGGCAGCGGTGAAATATTTAAAATTATTTGGAAGTTCATCCAAGTTTTAAATATCCAGAACCAAGAACTAGTTCCAGATAAACAAAGTGATAATTCAAAGTGAACGAGAGAATCAACAAAAGAGATATCCAGAGAGTTATCCAGATCTACAAAGACGTATCCAGAGAGTTATCCAGTTCTACGAAGTGTTATCCAGAGTGTTAACCAAGCAGCGATCCAGATATCCATATCTACGAAGTGTTATCCAGAGTGTTAGCCAAGCAGCGATACAGATATCCAGGTCTACAGAGAGGTATCCAGAGAGTTATCCAAGTATACGAAACAGAATTCGAGATTTTCCAGTACTACGATCCAGACCAACATTCAAAAGCAACATTGAAGTAAGGTATATAAAACAAAACTACGAATCTTTAGAACAAGAGTATAAGTCCACTTTACGTACGTTGAACGGCGACCTTCATAGGGTGTGGCTAAGTTTGTTTTAAAGCGTTGGTATACTCCGTGATTTTATCAGTATTTCCATCGTCAATAAACAAAAAAAAAAACAAATTTCATATTCTTGTGTACTCCTTGTAGCAGGATTGCAAGAAATGAAATTTTAAATTAGAAAACGCGAACGGTTATAAAATAAAATTGTACGAAACGATATAGGAAATTTATTAAATCAAACTGGATTTAAATTCATTTAGAGAAAGTAGGGAAAACGAAACTATAGACACAGACAGTTCATCCCCTTCAATATCACTGACTGACAGACTTAAATTAGACAATATTCTAAAAATCATGCCAGAAACATCAACAAGTTCAAATGACCTTTTTCAAACAATTCTTGCAAAATTGGAAAGATTTGAAACAAGATTGTTAGCTATGGAACAACCAGTTAGAAGAGAGTTAGGTTTACCCTTAAATGAGAATGAATTAAACAGCGATCATGAAGAATTAGAAGAAGTTACAGAATATGATTTTGGAAAAAGTATAAAATTAATACCAGAATTTAACGGGAGCGGTTTAGAAAACTTCATTCATTTAATAAGATTGTCCAAAAAGAAAACAAAAAGAAATGAAAGACTAACATTACTTCATGCAATAATTGCACAAAAATTAGTAGGAAAAGCGGCAAACACAATTAGAGCCGATGCAGTTAAAACATTTGCTGATTTTTTTGAAAGATTACGAATTTTATTTGGAGAAAAGGATAGTTTAGAATCACTTCAAAGGGCTCGCGATTCATGTATAATGGGCAAAAATGAAGGTTTAGAGTCATTCACCTCAAGATTTATGCAGTGTCAGGATAAAATCAGGCAGTCTATAGATAGTATGAATATAACACCTGAAGAAACTTTCGTAAGACAGGAAATAGAAACAAGTGCAAGCGTCAGCACATTCTTAAGAAATATACGTGAAGAATTTGAAATTAGAATCCGTCCTCAGAAACCGAAAACTCTGAATGAATGTTTTAATATTGCCTCAGAAATTAACGTGAATATAAAAGATAAAAGAAGAATAGAAAATTTTACAAGAAACCCAAGAAATGAGAACCCAGTTCCAAAACCAAGATTTAGTAAACAGACAAATATAGAAAAATGCAACCATTGCAAAAATGTAGGACATACAGAAGATGTCTGTAGAGGAAAATTGAGAGGTTTACCACCACGTCAAGAGAAAACTCAAAATTTTCAGTCACGATCGATCAACAGCAAACCACCAGACCGAGTGCAGCTAAACGAAGAATTTTCTTTATCGGAGAACCCGCTAAGCACAACCTTCCACCGATCCCGAGAGAACGAAGAAGACACGACACACCTATTGTGGCTTTAAAATTTGATAAATTAAAATCGGGAAAATTTGTAGTTGATACAGGATCGAATATATCAATCATAAAAAACAGTATGTTAGAAGGAAAAAACTTTAAAAAATACGCACCTCATAACGTTTTAACAATAGGAAACAATCCCGTAACATTTGAATATTCTATTTGTTTAAAACTTTATGGTAAAGAATCAGTTTTTCAAGTTACGAAAGATGAAAATGCATTTAGAGAAAATGGTTTAATTGGAATGAATTTACTTTACGATCAAAATTTTAAAATTGACTTAGAAAAAGGTATTTTAAACTTAGGACCTAAAATACTTCATCCACAACCTAGTGCAGATAAGAAAGATAAAATCTGTTTTATTAACTTTGAAGGAGGATATTCAGCAGTCACAAAATATGATTATCAAGGAAATCCAATTTTACCACCTAATACAGCAAAAATTGAAAGTATGTATGATGCTTATGAAGACTTATGGATAGATTCTATAAAAAAACTGACTGACGAAAAAATGTACCAATTCAGCAATAATGAAAGAATTAAAGAATTATTATCTAAAACACGACTAGACCATATCAAAGAAGGAAAAGAAGACTTACTAAGAATCATAACAGAATTTCACGACATTTTCCCATTAGGAAACGATCCTTTACCTTTAACTAAATTAACTGAGCATACAATTAGAACAACAGACGATCAACCTGTAAATACAAAACAATATAGATATCCACCTATGTTACAAGAAGAAGTTTACCAACAAATTAAAGAAATGTTAAAGAAAAATATACTTCGAGAAAGTATGTCTCCTTTCAATTCACCGTTATGGATAGTCCCAAAAAAGAAAGACGCTTCAGGCAAATTAAAATGGCGAATTGTTATAGATTATCGAAAACTAAATGAAAAAACCATTTTAGACAAATATCCTTTACCGTGTATTGATGAGATAATTCAGCAGTTAGGAAATTCTAAATTCTTTTCTTGTTTT